AGCAGACTTGGAGATTTACGCCCTGGGTTCTGCACACCTGGGTTCCTCTGCCAGTTCCTTCATGCGTGAGGCTTGTCCGAACGTGTGGAGAGTGGTCTTAAGCATGGCTGTGGCTGGAACAGGAGGTCTTCAGCTGTCGGGGCTCTGAAAAGAAAAATGTTTTCTCACCTGGAAATAATTATTGCTTTATGTGAAAGGAGAAGGATCCAGTAGAATCCTTCCTCCTTTGTTGACTTTTTGAAAGGAAATAATCTCAGACATTAAGGGTCAAGTGTGCTTTCCTCCAAACAAAGAATCTCTCCCTCCACCCCCTATAATAAGAAGGGGCAGGTGCTAACACTGACAGATATCACACAATCTTAAAAGAAAGGCAGCTGTGACCTGAGTATACTCCCAAGAGCAGGTAGGACTTACCATTGCTCACTACAACTGCTGGAAATTGTCCTGGAGGGTAAGGCAAAGGCACCCATGCTTGCCTGCTCAGCCAACCGCCAACAACTCCCACCTCCTTACCTTCCACAGCGGGGGGGGGGGGGGGGGACTTCTTTTCAGCAGGGACCCATCTGGCTCCTTCCAGCCTGGCCTCTTTGCCAGATTGAGGCAGTTCAGAGTCAGAAGAACGTGGATAGCTTGGAACAGTGTGGAACTGAGGTTGCAAAGCACTGATGATAAAACTTGTGCTCGCCTGGATCCCAATTCCTTAATAAACGGGCTACACTGAGGAGACCCAGCCTGTGACCTCTTTCTCAACCTTCCTCAACCTTCCCTCACTGTATCCTTCTCCTTCTATAGTTCCTCACCTGAGATTCTCCGATTTGAAACCCAGACACGTGAGTTCAGGAGATGGCCTGTCCCTTGAAGCTTCCGTGTACAACCCAATGCTGCAAGTATAACTTGACTGAGGAAAGGGACCCCAAAGATGGCCCAGCGAAGACCATGTGTGAAATCTCCAGGTAAGTTTCTCCCTGCAGGGATCCCCACTAGCACTCAGAACAGAAACCCTGTCTTGGCTCATGGCTTCTCACTCAAGGACCCATCTCACCAGTTGCTTCTGGAATGTCCCTGTTGGTACTGGATGTAACCCCCATTTATGAGGCGTATCACTGCACTGTGAGAAGGAGGAAGGCAGACTGCACAGGCTTGGCTCTTAAGGGGTCTAGAATCTCTGAGGGAGGTGGAGGGGACTAGGGAAGAGAATCCCTCCTTTAGAACAGGAGGCCAAGGATCTCATCAATGGTTAGAACAGGTTGCATCCTGCTCACAACACTCATTCTGATTTGCCAGAAGTGGGGGATGGGGGGTCAGGAGAGTGGGATGCCTTGTTAAGCATTTGGGGGTTTCAACCTGGTGAACAGAACCAGAACAAGGGTTGACGTTATAGAAGTCTTGGGCTGAACCACACCAGCCAATGCTGTGCCATCTCTCAGCAGCTGTGTGACAGAGAGAAAGGACAACCTCACAGATGTCCTCACTGCAGAACAGAACACAGAGGGACCACTTCCTTGCACATAGGGGGCATGTGTGCCTCCACCAAGTAGGGTCTCTGGGTGCTGGCACCAAGTCAGGGAGCACTCCCCCACGCTAGGGCTCAGAGCAGGGGAATGTATGCATGTGTCCTACACTGATCTCAGACTCTCCAAGGTGCCCGTTACGATTTCACGCTGCAGATGGAAAAAGAAGATGCTTCAAGAGGGAAGTGATTTCCCCAGCTCACATGGCTGGTAATGACAGAGTTGGGATTTGAACTCCAAGGCTGAATTCAGTGAGTGTCCTCAGCAGTGCTTGTAGGAGAAGGAAGTCAGAGACCACACTGAGAGCACTAGTCAGGCAATCCAACTGTTGGTGGGCAGCTTGCCCTGACATGGACTGGAGGCTGAGGCTTGTGCAGAGGAAAGACAAGTCCATGCGCAATGACATGTAAAGCAGGACCCAAACTGCAGGCCAGGTCTGTGAAGGGCTGGCCCATTCCAGGCAGCCCCCGAGATGTCTTTCGCATGAAGTACAGTGGAAGGCGCCCCCTAGAGGTGAGCAGTGAGCAGTGTATCTGTCAGGCAGCAGAAAAGCAGCAGTTAAGCATTCGGGCCATTAACTATTTATTGGTAATAAGTAATATAAAATAAATTATTGTGGGTCTGCTGTGGGGGCAAGCTTGAGAGGTGGTTACGAAAATGGAGACAAAGGTGGAGGGAAGGTGACAGTGGTGGTGGGATTGGTGTCAGAAGATTGAATGCCTATAACAAATTATCATGAGTAACTTTGTAGTAGTGTTTAAATAAAGTGTGGGGGAAAAAATAAGTCTGGCCTTGGACATAACCAGGGATCTGTCTCTTATAACTCTTGAAACATATCAATTCCTATGGCCTGAGTCTCATTCCCTCACCTGTAAGAAAGGCTGAGTAATGCCCATCCTCTAGGGCAGTAGAAAAAAGGAAACGGATTTTCACAATTTAGCACAAGCCTGGAAAGTGTGGAACCAGCTAGAAGCAGATGCTGCACTTGCCATCACATTTTTTGCTGTTGGCAGTTAGGATGAGGTTGAGTGCTGCTGGACAGAGTCAGCTGGCATGAATCGGAAGAATGGAAGGTGAAGGAAGTAGCAAAAACCATTCCAGGGCCAGAAGCAGGGTGGGCTCTAAAGACTTGGAGACAGAAGTGGTTATGACTCTGCTTGGGCTTGGGGGCTTGGCAGAAAGCTACGCTCAGAGGATGTGGGACTTGAGCACAGAGTAGCGGCTTTGTACTTGCTCTGTGGGCAACAGGGAGTCCTGGTAGATTCTTGAGTAAGTTCCAATGTGGCGTGAGGTTTGTTAAACTGGAAGAAAGAATATTTGCAACTTGGAGTCAGAGTTCTGATGGCTCATGGCTAAGAAATAAAACTCGGGGTCAAATACCTCCAAGTCTCTTTGTGGCACCTCAGGCTCAAATGCTGCTGGTGGACTGACTTTCTCTCTCCTTTCCGAATATTGAGAGTACTGGAACCTTAGAAGTTGTCTTGGGCTCATCTTAGTCACCAAGTTATCGGTTCCCTCCTCCTCTTCATCTTCTTGTTTTTTTTGTGTGTGTGTGTGTGTGTGTGTGTAGGTAGGACTGGAGGCTGGGAGATAGGGCCACACCCAGAGACACGTAGGGTTTACTCCCAAATCAGCACTCAGGGATCACTCCTGGCAGTACTTGAAGACTATATAAGGTGCTAGGATTGAACCCATGTTGCCCGCATGCAAGGCAAACACCCTATCCACTGTACTATCACTCCAGCCCTGACAGATATTTATTAAGTACTTGCTACTGCCTAATGAGGCAGGAAGTATCATTACCTTTATTTTATAAATGGCTTGCTCATTGTCATTACCTGGAAAAGCTAAGAAATGGACCAAGTTCAAGTTCATAGCCTCCCTCCTATTTGTGCTTTTCCTGAGGATTTATTATGTGCTGGATTGAGAAAGGGACAGAGAAAAAAGGGCAAATTCCTGCAGTTAGGAAGTAAAGGAAACTGCTTTTCTGACTGATATGGAAAGGAATCAACATAAAGAATGTGCTATTAAAGAGTACTTATTTTGGATGGAGGGGGCTGGGAGAAGTTACCAAGTAGAGCTCAAAGGTACCCAGTGTTCACTCCCAGCAATACTTAGCTAAAAAGGCCAGGTGGTTCAATTTTTGGACCCAATGATTCAGTGATTCTCAGACCCAGCAGTGCTCAGGAGTCACAAGAGCCACCATGGCAGATTATTTGTGCGGGGTTGTCAGGGATTAAACTCAGAGCCTTGAAGTGTCAGGGATTGAACTCAGAGCATTGTACATGCAAAGCACATACCTCTGCCTCTGAGCTATGTTCTGAGACTGCTCAAAAACTTTTTAATGGAATGGGGGTGAGAGGGTGGAACAGAGGGAGGAAGGGGACAGAGATAGGCAGGAGGCTACAGAAAAGTGCTGCGGGGAACCTGGCTGGCTGCAGGGACGGAAGCAGCAGGCAGGAGGGGCTTTCAGGAAGAGGACAGCCAACTGGACAGCAGCCTCCAGGGTGGGGTGAGTCTACACTCCGGGGAGAGGAGGCACAAGGCAGTCGGAATGATATCTGGGCAATAGTAAAGCCTGTTCGTGCTTTGATTTTTGAAAGGAATTTTCAGAAATTTTTAGAACAAACATTTCTTGTATGAGACTGAGGCGCCTCTGTTTTGGATGAATAACATAGAGTGAGCACTGCAAGGAGGAATTACATAGAGGACCGTTTGGCTAATTCCAGGCAATCTGGAAGAGTGGGTTGCAGTGGGCTCAGCAGAAGTGACTGCTCTTTGTCCTTCTGCTCTCATCTCGCCTGGATCTCCAACCACCTGGGGCCCAGGTGCCACACCAGCAACCCTGGGCAGAACAGAGCAATACAGGGCCCTGCCCCAGAGCAAGAACCAAGAGCCTGGTTGGATCCTGAAGGGTATTTGGTTCACTGCCTACCTCTGGCCCCCCTTTCCACTGAAAGTCACTCCCAGCCTGCACTTTCCTTTGGGAACTCTTCAGGGAACACAGAAGCAGCAGCATTTTATGGGCTGCCCTGAGCAGTGGGAGAGCTCTGGAGCTAGGGCCAGTGGTGAGGCTGCTGTGTGGTTTAAGGGGGTGGGGTGAGATTCTTAATTTTATCCCTCCATCGCCATCACCCCCCAAAAATCGTTCTCCATGAAGAGGGTGCTAACCATGTAGAATGACCATTTTGACATGCCTCCGTAAACTAAGCAGGAAAGTTTGTCTTCTAGAGAACGAAGCACAAGAGGGATTTTTAAATTATAGTCCTTGTAGATGCCTGTGAAATAAACAAACCCCAGGGCCGCCTGCCATGCACCGCCAAGTCCACGTCCAGGGGAATCCCGGAGCCGCATTCCCTGCGGATGCGCGCCCTGGGCACCTGGCGTGGGGGGCGGCTCCCGTCGGGCCGCCTCCGCCCCGGGGTGGGGCTAGAATGATCCCGGGGAGATAAAACGCCCCGCAGGGAGCCGCGTGGACTTCCCGGGGCCATGCGCGAGGGGCTGGGCAGCGCGTGCGAGGCCGCCCGGCCCCGGCTGTGCCGGCTCTTCCGCAGGATCCTCGGGTCCAAGCCCGCCTGCAGCCCCCGCGGAACCAGGTACCCGCGCAGTGCAGGGGTTCGGGCGCGCTTTGGGCAGGGGAGGGAAGCGGGCAACTCCGGGCAGACCCCCAGCTTCGAAATTGGGCGACTGAGTCCTACTGAGCGGCGGGTTTGCCAACAGATGATTAAACGCGGGTTGGAATAGTCGCTAAGAAGATTTGCTTCTAGTGTTTTCCTCATTTAGAAAGTACAAGGGAAGACGGTTCTGTAACCAGAGACAACCCAGAAAAGTCGACTTTGCTCCCAGGAGAACCTAGTTCGTGGGTGCTGAAGTTAAAACTGCGGGTGTTCCAGCTTCTGGGAATTCCTAGATGTTTCTGTACTGGAGCTGCCTCATCCTCTGATAGCTACAACCTGTTAGGCAAGGCAAAGGGGTCCTTGAGGGGCCCAGGAAATGGCTCAGTATACTTTGCAGACAGAAACCCCGGTTTGCTCTCAAACACCCCCAGAACATCAGGCTTGAAGAATTTCCTGAGCACCACTGTGGTCCCCCACCCCCCTTCCAAGACAATAAACCAGCAAGAAGTTCTTTTCTTCCTAGAACTTTTTTCTCTCCTTGGTCTCTTTCCACTGACCTTTGGTGTATGGGGAGGCGGGGAGGGAGAAGGCATGGGAATTGCACTGGAATCCGGAATCCAAGTTGGACTCCAAATAAGCCGCAGGTTTGCAGCTCTGATCATCGCATTCAGTGTGGCTTCAAGGGCTGGTGAAGAGTCCCGCATCCAAACAGCCTCACGCTGCTCAGGGTCTTGCCCTTCATGAAGAGCCACAGCAGGACCTGGCGCTGCCTGAGCCTCCAGACTGTAAGAGTATCTGATAGTCCTTGCAATTATTTGGCAACATCTATCCCCATCTTTAAGACCCTAGCTCCTGTCACCTAGCCCCAAGGAATCTGCAAACCTGGAAAGAAAAAAAGATCACACATAGATTTACTTATTCACTTCTCAAACTAAAGGGTTTTTTTTTTTTTCAGCTATAAAAGGAATTTGTGGTCACAGACAAAATGCAGCAGTAAAGAAACATTCAAACTACCCTTGCTCTTGTCACTCAGTTCTGGTCCCTTTCAACCTGAGTGACCTTGTCCAGTTTTTCTCTGCTCCTGAGCATACAGACACCAAGAGCCCCTGTATACAATCTGCAGCGTTGTTTATAAGAGTGGAGAAACAGGATACAGTGTTCAATGCCCGCCTGTAAGTCAGGAGTACCAGACTAGAGATCCTTGATAGAGTGGATTTCCAGATTTTTCTTTAACATTTGGGGGAATATTGTTACAACTGTACAAGGACATTATTTTTCTATCTAAATGTTACAGTGTATCAGGAAACTGCTCAAATCCTCCAGATGTATGACCAGAAGTCAGTGAGAGGAAACAAGTGCAAGCAAGTGGGGGACAAGGGGGGGGGGAGGCGGACTGTAGCTGAGGGGCGATGGCAAAGTCTGAGAAGAACTGGAAGACCTCAGTGAGCCTCAGGCCCTCTGCTTTAGCCACTCTGCTGGGACTTTGCAGCATACTTACTAGTTCCATGTCCAGATTTTGAACTGACTGCTGGTGAGTGCACCAGTCCAGGCCAGAAGAGCAAGGGAAGCTGGTGACAAGTACTGGGGGTAGGGGTGCTTTTGCTTTCTGAAACCTACTTAGGTGCTTTTAAAGGGACCCGGTCTTTATGATTTTAAATCCCATCATGGCCCTTCTGTTGTTAACTATATAATGTTAACATAAATGAATAAAAGCCACGAATTTTTCCAATAATGAAAGCAATAAACACTCATTTGTCAGAGTCCAGTGTCTCAGGCAGGGATTAAGTAGGAAATGAGAGACTTCTATAATTGTCTCCAAGCCCCATAACCCCCTAGATATGCACACCCCAAATACTGCAAAGAACATAAGCTTTCAAACTAAGATCCCCAGGGGTGATTTCTCCCCAGAGCAGCCATGTGTGGGGTGTAACTCTTGGGGTGCTCACATGGATTCAGCCCAGGGTGGTCTCATTTCTTCTGTTCTCTATCGCATTTGCCAGGAGTGTGAACCAGCTCCCTAAGCCAAAGCTCAAGTGATTTTAGACTATCTTGGCTTTTTCCATCTTCCAAGGACAAAGTTCTAATTATTTTTAGGTAACATGAACTGGAATGATAGATAGCACAGCTGGAGGGCATTTGCCTTGTGTGCGGCATGGCCAGGCCGAGCCAGGTTCATTTCCTCCGCCCCTCTCGAAGAACCCGGCAAGCTACCGAGAGTATCTTGCCCGCACAGGAAATCCTGGCAAGCTACCCGTGACGTATTCGATATGCCAAACACAGTAATAACAAGTCTCACAATGGAAATGTTACTGGGCCCGCTCGAGTAAATCGATGAACATCGGGAGGACAGTGCTACAGTGCTAACCTGAACTGGGGAAAGGAAGGTGTGGAGAGTTCATAGGGGTTGTTATGTTGTTGTTTGTTGTTTGTGTTGTGGTGCAGGGCATCAAGCTCAGGGTCTCACATATGCAAGGCATGCACTCTACAACTGAGCCACATCCCCAACTCCTTGACTAAGTTTTCTAATTGTGTGAAAAAAAATTTTTTTTTAATTTTGGGGCCATGCCTGGTGGTACTCAGAGGACACTCCTGACTCAGTACTCAGGGTGTATACTGGTGGTGCTTTGGTGGACCATGAGGAATCAGAGATTGAAGCTGGGTCTCCTACATGCAAAGCATGTGGTCCAGACCTTTAAATGATCTCTCTGGCTTCTCTAAATCCCTAATTTTTAATAAACATAACCAATATGCTTTCTTTGTTGCTTTGTTTTGGGGTCACACCTAGTGATGCTCAGGGGCTACTTATGATTTGGTGCTTAGGAATTACTTCTGGCCATGCTGAGGTGGGGAAGGGGTGGCACACCGTACCAGAATTAAATCTGGCATCCTGCATGCGAAATGAGCTCCCATCAATATGCTTTTAAAGATTACTGGGCCAGTGGGATAGTAGTGGGCAAGGTACTTGCTTGCATGTGGCTGATATGGGTTTGCCCTCTAGCTAGAGATATTTATGGATGACCATGAGTCTCAGGTTTGTTTGGGAATGTTGAGTGGGACTGGAGAGAGAGCTCCACGGGCTGAGTGGGACGCCCTGGTTTGCATGCCGGAGGCCCTGGTTTGATTCCTGGCACCACAGGGTCCCCTGTGCTCCAGTGGAGCAACCTTTGAGCACTGAGTTGGAGTAGCTCTGAGCACTGCCTATTATAGCACAAAAACTAAAAAACTTTAAAATGATGGTAGTTCTAGGTGGGTAGAGATGGATCAATATTGACCATGGTTGATAATTGTTGAGTGGGAGTTGAATCAGAGTAGAAGGGCCCATGACAGTTAACAGCACTGTTCTTTCTAAAAGTGTCCTCAAAATATTTTCCATAACCAGTCAAACAAGATCATCAATAATAAATCAATAATAAAACAGCAGTAATAGATATGAGTATCATTAATGAACTTTTCCCAAGATATTTTAAATAGACATCAAGAATTATAAATAAAGAAAGCTTCAGTTCCAAAGCTACCAGTGGGGGGTTGCCCTAAGCCCCCAAGCCCTCCACCATGTTTCTCCCTGACTATGGGAGACACAGTTGGCGTCTCCACAGAACCCCTGACTGCAGCTTAAGCTACTGACTGCCTCATGCTGTTGGGGCTTTGTAGGAGGCAGAGAAGAAGGATTGGAGGGAGATTTCTGGGGGACCCAGGCCTCCCTGAAACACCCTTCTTGTCAAAAACCAGGAGCACTTTCTGCCCTGGGGACCTGTGCTGCCCCCACTATGGAGTGAAGGCTCGGCCGAGGGGCCTTTGAGACCGTCCACCTCATCAGAGCTGTTTCCTTTTGCAGTGCAGCAACACAGGATGACCCAGAGGGCCCAAACAGCCTTGGCCACAAGCTCCGGAATGAGTCCCCACAGCCCCACTCAGGCACAGAAAAGGTCAGTAAATCACATGGGCGTGGGAAACCCCTTCTTTCTGGGCCAGGCTGATGGGGGAAAAGCGGGGGTCTGGGTGATGGGTGGAGAGTAGGGGGGCCCAATGGGGTGAAAATGGGATGAGCCCTAATGATCGGAGTAATGGTCCTGCAGGTGCTGGGCATGCAGGCTGGCAGCGTTGGAGCAGGGAAGGGCCCTGTAGAATAAGCCCAGGGACAGCAACGGTACAGCAGGAAGGTCATTTGCCTTGCATGCAGCAAACCCAGGTTTAATCCTGGGCATCCCATATGGTCCCCTGAGCACCGCCAGAAGTAATTCCTGAGTACAGAACCAGTAGTATCCCCTGGGCATTGCTGGGTGTGGCCCAAAAACAAAACAAATGAACAAATAAAGAATAAGCCCAGTTGCCACCACCTGGAACCTCGTCCTTGGGTGTCTACTCCTCCTGCTCCAGCCTCAGTGTGCAGGGCAGTGCAGAGAAATGGGAAGAGGCGGGAGATGAGTTGGTTTCACCTTCTTAAATGCTTCTTTGAGGGGTCTTCCCTGTCCTGGTTTCTGTTGTTGTGGTGTTAGCTGTGATAACTCCCCGGCTCTGACCTTCTCCCTCTCCCGGGTGTTGCTCTGCGGAAGCATTTGGCAGCACTTGGGTGAGGACAGAATTCTGGCCAGTGTCCCGGGCACCTGGAGCTCTTTTCAGGCTCTTACCCAGGTGGTCAGGCTGCCAGGGTTGGGGCAGGGGGGCAAGATGGATTCCTCACCTGTGGCTCCACCCACGGCCCCCAACCTGCTACTCCCCAAAGCAGGGGCCTGGAGGAGACCAGCAGGGTCCCAGGGTTAGAAGAATATGGAATCATTTGTGTTTTTTGTTTGTTTGTTTGTTTTCCCTCCCTCTTAGTCTCCAGAACCCCCAGTCAAGTTGGATGAGCCCCTGGTGACCAGCCCTCGATATGTGAAGATCAAAAACTGGGGCAGTGGGGCCAGTTTCCAAGACACACTTCACCACAAAGCTAAAAGGGTGAGACATTGGGGCCTCCTGGAGACCTACTCTTGTCCTCAGCCAATGACATTGTCATTTGCACTCTTAGTGGATTGTCCCCCACCCCCACCTCCCATGTCCCCAGAAATCCCAGGAGCCCCTGTGTGGGCCAAGAATGCTGGAGACACCCTACATCTCCCAATGACAATAGGCAGTAAAGGGTGCCAGCCCTTAGCTGTCTCCCCAACACAACCCCACCCTGATAATGGAAAGCCAGAGGTGAGCTAAATAATGACAAAAACAAATGATTTCTCAACAAGACTGATTTCAGTCTAGTATCAGGCAGAGTTTTTCAACAGAACTGCCAGAATCTTAACTTTAAGAGAAGGTAGTGAGCTCCCAGTCCTGAAATGTATCCAAATACTTTCTGACAAGTTGCTAGAGAAGGGTCTGGGTGTCCAGTGAATGGTTGAACTCAGTGTCCTTGATGGTCCATCTCTTACCCTAAGTTTCTCATTTTAAATGTACATACATTCTGTGATTGCAACTCTTTCTCAAGAGTTGAACATGTCAAGATCATGCAAATAGAATGATTTCCTACACCTTCCAGAAGTTACCATGCTTTGCATCTGGGGGTGCTTGCTTCTGGTATATTTCCTGTGCCATCCCCTGACTTTGGGATTTGTAGCTTCTCAGTGTCATCTGTTTCGACACCAGTAGAGTATTCCCAGGAGCCATGCAAGTCTCTTTGGATGAGGAGGTGGCAGAGATGTTCCCATGAGTCAAGCCATGGCCATTACTCTGGGTCTGGGCCTGGGGGGAAGTCGGGCCAAGTGGACCCAAGGCAGAGGTGCCATAGGAGCTGGAGCAGCTAGAGTAGAAGGAGGTGGCTGGGGGTGCAGGGTGGCAGGAGGGCAGGGCTATATGACCCTTCTGGAAAAAAGGGTGTGGCATGAAGGTAGACCAGCATCAGTCACAGCAGAATAACCACACAGTGATGTGGTTATACCACAGGGTGGAGGGTACCCCTTTGCAGGAGGACACACAGCACTCCTGCATAAAGGCCAACCAGCTCACCTGGCTCCCTGCCTCTCTCTTTCCAGGATCTTGCTTGCAAGTCCAAATCTTGCCACGGGGCCATCATGAACCCAAAGAGTTTGATCATTGGACCCAAGGATAAGCCTACCTCCCCCGATGAGCTTCTACCTCAAGCGATTGAATTTATCAACCAGTATTACGACTCCTTCAAAGAGTAAGGCTCACTTGCTCCCCCCTTCCCTCAAGCTCTCTGATCTCCAGCCATTTCCCTCTACCCCAAGCCCCTCCCTAAAGCATTTTTCCAAGGTAAAGGACCCCAAGGACCTCAAATTGGGTCTCATAGTGATGCGGCCGACTTGGCCGACCTGAGTTTGATTCCACCGCCCCTCTCAGAGAGCCCGGCAAGCTACTGAGAGTATCTCGCCCGCACAGCAAAGCCTGGCAAACTACCCGTGATGTATTCGATATGCCAAGCACAGTAACAACAAGTCTCACAATGGAGATGTTACTGGGCCCTCTCGAGCAAATCGATGAACAATGGGAGGACAGTGCTACAGTGCTACAGTGACAGAAACATAGCAATAGTGATTAAAAGTGGGGCTAGGGCTGCCAGAGGGATAGAGCAGTAAGTAGGGCTCTTCCCTTGCACAGAGCCAACCTGAGTTCAATTCCCAGCACCCCAATAGGGTCCCCAGAATCCACTAGGTATGAGTACTGATGCAGTGCCCGAAGTAAGCTGTGCTCAGCACAGGCAAGTGGAACCCAACCACCCTCCCCTACCAAAAAAGATAAAGAAGTGGAGTTGGCAGCCAGGTAGATAGCTCAAATAGTAGAGCACATGCCCTGGGTACATGCACAAAACATAGGCAAGGCCCTGGGTTTGAACCTTACTGCCACTTGCTTGTGACCTTGGGGTCCCCTGACTATCGCCAGCTATAGCCTTTATACAAAACAAGAGGAACTGGGAATGTACCTTTGTTTGAGTCTGGTTTCCGCTGTGACTGATGCTGGTCCATGTCCTTGGGCTCTCTGTTCGTCCACTTCATGCTTCCACTTTCTCCTCTGTGAAATGGCAGTGAGGACAGAGCCCAACTCATAATCATTTTGAGGATTCAATAGCTTTAGGCCCATGTCCTGGCAAATTGCAAACTTGGCTAAGAGTTAATGTACACCCAGGGCCAGAGAGATAGTATGGTGGGTCCAAGGCATTTGCCTTGCATGCAGTCGACCGGGTTTGATCCCCAGCACCCCATGATCCCCCCAAGTCCTGTAAGGAGTGATTCCTGAGGAGTGAGCCCTGAACATTGCTAGGTGTGGCCCAAATGAAAAAAAAGTGTATACTCTTTGACTATAAAGGGGAGAGAGAAACCACCTAGCCATGGAGTCCCCTCCTTTGGGTGAGAACTGGGAAGCCCCGAGGTTCACCTGGAGTTACCCAACCCCAGCACACTCTGGCCCCTGACTTGGAGAGGGCCATACTCATTGCACCCATCACTGTGGGCTTCTCCATGCCAGGGCTGCATCAGGATAACTGACTATTCCTTTACATCCTTTTCGAGCTTAAAAAGAACAGCTCAGGACCAGAGAGTTGCTCAGAGGGCTGGAGTACAAGCTTTATCCATATGAGGCCACACTCAGGCCCCAGCACTACTTGTTCCTCTGAACAACAGGGGGAGAGATCTCCAAGCACTGAACTGGGAGTAGTTCCTGAGCCCCACCTGATGGGAACCCCACACCTTCCTCCCCCACAAAAAGATAACAATGCACCAAGGGGGTCTGAGGCAGGTTGGGTGAGGGCATGGATCTACTGTTTCATGGGCTAAGAGGGGAAGTGGATTTCCTGTAACCCCGTGTGACTCTTCACTGCATGGACTAAACTTTAGTTGCGCTCCTGGGACCCACTGGCAGAAAGTCTTTCTCCTAAGATACTGCATTGCATTCACTATTGTGACCCAAACAGCTGCTGAGCTGGGCTTGCAATGGGGGATGGGGGGTGAGTCTTAAACCCACAAAGGAGGCTCTAAGCTTCCAAGTCCAGTGGTCCTCCTTCCTCCCACTTCCCGCTGGCCCCCTCCCCCAAGGATCAGGATCTTTTATGTAGGGGCTGAGGACTGAAGGGGCTGTCAGCTGTGTGTGTGTGTCTGTGTGTCTGTGTGTCTGTGTGTCTATGTGTGTGACCACAACCTCTGCAGAACTGCTGTGGCTGGAAGGGTCCAGATCCATGGACCTTCATTTCCATTGTCGACTTTCAGAGCCCAGGAACTTTTTGATAAGTTTTAATAAACAAGAAAATGAAGCTCTATTTCACATACCTTGAAATCGCAGAATTAGTGAAGCATTTCAGTACTGGGCTCTAGATCTTTGACCTAGAAGTTTCCAGACTCCATCTGGACCTGGAAAGGCTCTGCCAGTGTGTGAAGGCCAGCTGAGTGGATGCTAGCATCAGGGGAACCAGTGTTGTTCTGGGGTTTGATTCAAACCCTTCGACATCTTACCCGGGGAATCACCATTGCTTTAGGACCATGTGGTCCTGAAGTGGTGAATCATACCCATTCACACCCTGACACTAGCAGCCATGGACACAGGTGGCCAGTGGCTTTAGACTGTCTCTTTAGAATGAGGATCTTTGCTTAGACACTGTCACTAACTGGGCACTATGCTCGAATCCAGCTGGCTGATGCCAAAGCCCTTCTCTTCAGAAGCAACAGAGGCAACAGCATTGTAGTGTGTCTGAAAGGGGCTGACAATCACAGGGAACTCGGTTTCAGAAGGCACCAGGTGACAGAGTAAAACAGTCTGTCGTGCCACCCCACCCACAGGTGAGCACTGGCCAGAGCCATCCCCACTCTGTCCCTGTGGGTATGTGTCAGGGGTGGGGGACACAGCTAGAAGCTCTGGAGGCAAGGAGGATTCTTGGAGGGGAAAACAGCAGCCTCTACCCACAGTCCTACCAGGGCTGGGCTTTGAAGATAAAGAATGCAAGTGGCGAGTGTTTTGTCTGGGTGGTGCTTTTATTTTCTTTAATCAAGGAAGAGTTGCCAAGACCCAGCTCCCACAGAAAGGCTGTTTTGTTCTGACGGTTCACTCGCCTTCTCAGGAGCTCTTTCCTTAGCTGGGCTCGCTTGCTGCCATTTCTGAAGCCTTGGTGCTGGAGGGAAATACCAAGGTGTGTGTGTGTTCCCGTGCACGCGTGTGCGTGCACACATGCATCTATGAGTATAAGTGTGTGTATGTGTATATGTGTGAGTGTATGTGTGTGAGTATATGGGTATATGTGTGTATATGTATGTGAGTGTATATGAGTATATACGTGAGTGTGTATGTGAGTATATGAGCATATGTGTGTGAGTGTATGTGTGTATATATAGATGTGTCTGTGTATGAGTATATGGGTGTGTGAGCATGTCTGTTTGTGTGTGCATGTGTATGTGTGTGTGTGTGTGTATTTCAAAGTCTTTCTCATGGGATCTCTCCCTGTGGGATATTAGAAGGGGAAGGAGAGGCGAGGAGGGGAGAAGCTTCTGGAAATGCCCTGTGTGGTTGCCCGTGGGCTGTGTGGGGGTTGAGAAACAGTGCAGAGACCCAGTAACACACAGGTCACTTCCTGGGAGCTGTGCAGGCCTGACCAGGGAAGAGAGGGCTCCCAGCACCTCTGTGCTTGCAGTCACATTTGGGGTGAAGGGAAAGATTCAGAGACATCTGAACAATTGCAGTCTGGCTCCTTACTTGGCTCTTTATCACACACTGCCCACCTCGCATCCCAGACTTCCTAGCATCTGCTTATCCTAGGCCAGTATGTTTCAATGTTTTTATTCCTATGAGCCTTCCCCCAACCACAGTCCTCCAGTTGAAGACCACAGCCTTAAACTTTTTCTTTTTTCTTTGCAGCAGGGATTGCTAGGGGGAGGGGGGTGAGTTTTCTCCTAGCTCTATGCTCAGGGATCACTTCTGGCAGTGCTGGGGGAACCATATGGGGTGCTGGAAATTGAACCCCGTGAGCTGCATGCAAGATAAGTCCTTGACTGTTCCCCCTCTCCAGCCCCAAGTACTACCCTAGACTTTGAATGGTCACAGAAGTGCAGTGAGAGGTGGACAGGAAGGGTGCCGTGGACACCTGACGGCTCACAACACAGCTCTGTGTGGGGGGTGGTGGGGAGGGAGGCCCATCTTTTACATGCCAGAAGTTGTCCACATGTCCCACATGTGCTAGACCCAGAGACAGGACATGGCTGTATCCTGGTGGACATTCCCCTGAGTCCTGGAGGTGTCTGGGTGAGTTGCACCTCTTGCCTGTGCTCACCAGGATGATAAGAAGAGATAATGTGCCTGGCGACTCATGTGAGGGGACAGGGAGCAGTCATGGAACTTGGGGTGTGAACATGAAAGTATGACCGACTTCCTGTTCCAAGAGGTTTTAAGCCCATGAGGGAAGAGCCTGAAGCTGAGGGTGGGGTCTCCATGAAGCTGGTCCCGGTGAGGGACCTCCTGCCCTTCGGCTGGCCTCTTCAAGTTCCTGTATCTGTGCCTTGATTTAATCCCCCCCCCTTCCCCTGCCAATGTGTGGCCTTCTTGTTGATCTTCCTGATGTCTTCCTGTCCCCCAGGGCAAAAATAGAGGCACATCTGGCCCGAGTGGAAGCGGTAACAAAGGAGATAGAAATAACAGGAACCTACCAGCTGACGGGGGATGAGCTCATCTACGCCACCAAGCAGGCCTGGCGCAACGCCCCCCGCTGCATCGGGAGGATCCAGTGGGCCAACCTCCAGGTGGATTTCCGTAGCCGCCCAGGAGAGGAAGGGGGGGGCGGGGGGGCGGTAGGCTGGGCCTGGGGCTCCCCAGTCTGAAGTCAGAGCCCCAGTGCTCTAATTTCTGTCCTGAGCACAGGACAGAGGCTCACTGTGCCTGCACCTGGACTTCCCAGCTGACCTTCCTCCCTTGGGTAGAATTTGGGAGACTAAACAGCAGCTTCAAGGCAGACAGTCTATTTATTTATTTATTTATTTATTTATTTATTGCTTTTTGGGTCACAACCAGTGATGCACATGGGTTACTCCTGGCTCTTCACTCAGAAATTACTCCTGGGTGTGCTCTGTGGACCATATGGGATGCTGGGAATAGAACCCAGGTCGGCCGCAAGGCAAACATCCTACCCCTTGTGCTATTGCTCCAGCCTGAAGGCAGTCTAGTGATGATTTGCGTTGAGGTCCCAGGAACTAGAGAGGTTGTCTTGTCAACAGAAGTTCCAATGAGAAGGGTTAGAGATCAACCTGTTTGCTCTCTCAGGGAGTACATTCCCAGCCCCTTGGGAAATGGTCATGAACCAGGCTGCTCCAAGGCAGTGAACTGACTCTAGGGGTGATAGCCAATGAGAAGTTTTCATAGCAGAGAGAAAGCGAGGCAGAGAAGAGGGAAGGATTTCTTCCATTTTGTATTTGTTCTTGGGCCACACCCGGCAGTGCTCGCAGTTTATGCCTGGCTCTGGACTCAGGAATTACTCCTAGGAGTGCTCAGGGGACTGTATAGGATGCCTGGGATCAAACCTGGGTCTACCGAATTCAGGGCAAACGCCTTACTGTTTTACTATCTCTCCAGCCTCTGGAGGAAGGATTACTAAATTAGACTTGGGGATGCCATGTGAAGATTAGCTCATGTCCTCCATTGGAACAGACACTGTTGCTTCTTAGGATTTGGTGGGTTTGACACCAACACCTCAGTCCATGTGTTGCCATTTTCCTTTTGCTGTTCTTGTTTGGATTTTTTGGTTTTCTTGGCCATACTGGATGATGCTCAGGGCTAACTCCTGGCTCTACACTCGGGAATCACTCATTTTGGTGCTCAAGGAACCCTGTGGGGTACTGGGGATTGAAAGCTGGTCAGCCTCATGCAAGGCAAGCTCCCTACCCGGCGTAAGATCACTCTGGCACACCATTTTCTTTTTAAGACTTGAATGCTTGGATTCTTGGCTCCTAAGAAATGCTGTCTTTATCCTATCCTGCCAGGCCCCAGGGGATAATTTATTGTTGGGTCTTTGGGGAGCATTGGGACAGGGAGACCCACCTAGTTCATCCCATGACTTGCGAGGGCCTCTCTGAAATGTGCTCATGTTGTGAAGGGCCCAGCCTGGGCTCTGGACATCCTGGTTTATGGAACAGGGCAAGCACGTGCTTGAGGCATTTGGAAATTGCTTGGATTTCCCACAAGGGTTTGTCTGGACTCCTCAGGAGAGCAGGAGGTTGGTGGGCAAGGTGTGTTGGCATAGAGAGGGGGCTTCACTCTCACGCCACGTTTTGGATGGTAGGAACAGGATGAGGGGGGCACTGTTCCCTCACTGCTGTGACTTAGCTTCTGTGTATTTGGGGGCACACCTGGCAGGACCTTGCAGTGCAGAGTTCCTGGGGTTCCCACGTGCAGAGAATGTGCTCGGCCTTTCGGCCAGCTTCCCAGCCACTGTCACTCAGCTTCTGATCTGTCCCATGGCCTTGTTCCTCACCATTGCCTCTCGGGCCATGCAGGTCTTCGATGCCCGGAGCTGTTCTACTGCTCAGGAAATGTTCGAGCACATCTGTAGACACATCCGTTATGCCACCAACAACGGCAACATCAGGTGACTGCTGTTCCGGGTGGGCATGGCTTAGCTAAGGCAGGTTTAGCTGAAGCATCTGGAGGCAAGACAGAGTCGGGGGAGGTGAAAGGAGGAAGACTTGGGAGTCCTCAGAAGCCCTCTCCTTGCTTTCCTTCTGACACGGAGCCATTTGAAAGGAGTGAGGAGTAACTTCTGCACTGCTCAAACTTAGGACACCCTGCTTTTTTGGGGGGAGTGGATGCTAATGAGAGGTTGGTTCTCCAGAAGCTAGTTCTTAGAGATGACAGAGTCAGTGCTTATACATCCACAGCCACCCCCTGCCCACCTTACCCTCCTCTCCCAGAGAAGTGTGGGCCAACAGGACCCACCAGTTTCCTCTCATCTCTGTGCAGTTCTGTTTGTTCAGCAATACTCAGTGAGGAGGTGGGAAGAAGGGATGTAGGGCCGTGGGGAATAATTCCCTCAGATGTTGCTGTGAGTTGAGTCACACAGAGCCGAGTATCCAAGAATCGCAGTTGCAGACAGGGAACTACTATGCTGCTGTGAAGAGTGGGTTTACCTTGCCTGGCAGCTGTTGGAGGCTTCCTGGAGAAGGCGATCCCTGTGGTGGGCTTGAAGAAAGCCTAGGAACTGTAGGGGAAAGAGAGAGAGCACATGTGGGGGAAGTAACACATTTTGCCGAGGCCAGGGACAGCAGGAGTTTGGTTGGGGAAACCTTGGGAAGAGCAGGGAGGAAACTCCGGGGATGGCTGGCCAGATGGTAACCACCACCCCCCGCCTTCGCCAAGGTCGGCCATCACGGTGTTCCCGCAGCGGAGCGACGGGAAGCATGACTTCAGGGTGTGGAATGCGCAGCTCATCCGCTATGCCGGCTACCAGATGCCCGACGGCACGATCCGCGGGGACCCCGCCTGCGTGGAATTCACCCAGGTGGGGTTCAGAGTAGCGAGCAGAGGGCAAGGAGGGGGCGCAGGACTGGGGGTCCGTGCACTCGTGATGGGGCCAGGGTCTGTGCACTTGTGGTGGGACCCAGGGGTCCGTGCACTCGTGGTGGGCCCCAGGCGTCTGCGTGCTTGTGGTGGGACCCCGGGGTCTGCACGCTCGTCATGGGCCCAGAGGCCCATGCGCTTGTGGCAGGCCGGGTCCGCACACTGGTGGTGGGGTGGGGTGACAGGGCAGGTCCGCACACTCACCACCCCTCTTGACCCCAGCTGTGCATCGACCTTGGGTGGAAGCCCAAGTATGGGCGCTTTGATGTGGTGCCGCTGGTCCTGCAAGCCGATGGCCGTGACCCGGAGCTCTTCGAAATCCCGCCTGACCTGGTGCTTGAGGTGCCCATGGAGCATCCAAAGTAAGTTGCCTGGGACAGCGTGCTAGTGTGTACCTCTTCTTTTCTCAGGACATCCTAGAGCTCCCCCCAAAGCTGCATCAGCATCCGCTGATGCCCCAAGAGCTGGTGGCTTCTCACCTTGGACGGGGACTCTTGCGCTTGCGTCTCAGGCCTTGGTTAGTTGCACGGAGGGTGGGCTGGCAGAGAGAGAGAACAGAGGTCAGACGGGTGGGGCCCCGAAGTCAGGGAGCAGCGATGCAGGAGAGGCACCTATAAACAGCTCTGAGGGAAGAAATGAAGTCATGGAATCTGCTTATACATGAATGGACATGGAGAGTATCATGCTGAGTGAAATAAGTCAGAGGGAGAGGGACAGACAGAATAATAGCACTCATTTGTGGGATATAAAAATTATAGCATGAGACTAACATCCAAGGACTGGTCCACAGTTGGAAGGCTGCCTTAAGGGCTGGGCGAGAGGGCACTTGGGGTGGAGAAGGGACACTATGACAATGATGGTTAGAGGGATCACTCTGGACGGGACATGTGTGCTGAAAGTGTGTAAAAGACCAAACATGACGGCCTCTCAGTACCTGTATTGCAAACCATAATGCCCAAAAGCAGAGAGAGAATAAGAAGAAAAGTGCCTGCCATAGAGACAGGTGGGAGTGTGGGGGTGTCTGTTTGAGGGGGAGGTGGCAGGAGAGGAACTAGGGACATTGGTGGTGTGGGGAGGGGTATAACTTTGTATGACTGAAACCTGATCATGAAAGCTTTGTAACTGTGTCTTATGTTGATTCAATTAAAACAGTTTTAAAAGTAAAGAGCTCTGAGGTGGCAGCTTTCTGTGGCCACAGCTTGTCTGCCTCCTCACTGACTCTGCTGAGTGTGGCAGGAGTTGGAAGCCTACAAATGACAAAGAACCCCAGGTGGGCAGGAATAGGGCCTCCTTGGTAGAGCACAAGACTGGCATGGCAGGGTCCTGAGTTCTCTCCCTGACTCCCTAAGGCTCCCGAGCCCTGCAGGGTGTAGCCCTGGTGACCCCTGAGTACTACTAAGATTGTCATTTAGAGCCCACTAGCTTAGCTCCTATTCCTGGCAATTCTCAGTTTCAGTTTACCTGTGTGTACTGAGGCTCTCTGCAGCAGGTACTGTGCTGGGCTCGTCTTTTTGTTGCTTGAGTGTGCAGGGATCAGCCATACCTCAGTGCCTTTGCATATGCTCTGCTCTCTGCCTGCCGTTCCCTTCGCTCAGAACTGTGCAGCTTCACATCTTCTTGTCGAGGCATTCCCTCTTTTCCCTGTTTCCCCCCACCATGTCCCCACTCCAGCAGCCTCTCTTGATCTCCAGCCTAGAGGAAGCCCCTTCCCCCGCACTCTAACATAGCACCTGCTGTTTACTTTCCTATTTAGTCTAGACTCTAAACGAAAAGTCCTTGAGGGTCAAGATCTGCTTCTTCCTTCAACAACGCCCTCCCCAATTCCTGGGTAGCTGGCGTGATAGTGCTCCATTCTCAATATTGGCGGAAAAATAAAGGAGTCTAGTATCTTTACCATATCCCCAGACTTTGGTGCTTTTTTGTGTTTGTTAGTTTGGGGGGTAGTTATTTGTTTGTTTTGGGGTCACGCCTGGCAATGCTTAGAGGTTACTCCTGGATCTGCAATCAGGAATCATTGCTAATGATTCTCAGAAGACCATATGGGATGCCAGGGTTGAACCTACATGCAAGGCAATCATGCCGTTCCCCCCCCCCACCCCCAGAATTCTCTGCTTTTGTCTCTGATTTGCGGGTGGGAATACAGAGATTCAGAGAGGAGAGTAACATCCTGAGATCACAAAGGGGTAGCTGCCATAAGAGATCTGACCTCTATGTTGGGTTCTCCCTACCAGCCAAGAGCCTGTTGATATAAGTTGGCATGTGTGAGAGATAAATGTGTAACGAGCTCATGAGAGCTAGTGTGCACTGTCCACCTCTTCTCCTTGCTGCCTTTCCCTGAAGCTCTCTTAGGGGAACTTCGGAGTGTTGTGAAGAGGGTAAAAGCGAAGGCTGTGATTGTGATGTCCTTGGCCTCCCCACCAGGTATGAGTGGTTCCAGGAGCTGGCACTGAAGTGGTATGCCCTGCCTGCAGTGGCCAATATGTTGCTGGAAGTGGGTGGCCTTGAGTTCCCAGGGTGTCCTTTCAACGGATGGTACATGGGCACAGAGATCGGGGTCCGGGACTTCTGTGATGTCCAGCGCTACAACATCCTGGAGGTAACGGGCACCCTCACATGGGGCTGACTGGAGGTGGGGGCCTGGCATGGGATCCAGGGATGGCCTCACCCCTGTGTATCTGGCGCTGCAGGAAGTGGGCCGAAGGATGGGCCTGGAGACACACAAGCTGACCTCCCTCTGGAAAGACCGGGCTGTGATTGAGATCAACATCGCCGTGCTCCATAGTTTCCAGGTCCGAGGACCGCCTCCTGGTCCAGCCACTCTGCCTTCTTCTCAGTTTCCCCTCACTGCTCTTGCTCTATCTTAGAGTCTAGAAACATGTCGGGTCTCGGGAGATGCCCCAAACAGCTGTGTTGAATGGATGAAGTAGAAGTCGCATCCACATGACTGGGGTCTGGGTGCCCTTTGTCCCCTGAGTGACAGGAGCGGCCGCCTCCTCCCCCCCCCCACCCCACAGCTAACTGATGCTGAGGGGAACAGCACTCTCTGACTCTTGTGCCATTCTTACCTGGGATGCATGTCTCCTCCCTCTGCACATAGCCTGTGTGAAGGTATGTAGGGCTGTAGATGCCCCGGACACAGACTTATTCATCCACTTGGTGAGGTTCTAAGGGGCTTTTCCCAGTGCCAGTTTGGCTGGGCCAAGCGTGTGATAGGGAAGGCTCTGGGTTCAGCTTCTAGTCCGGAGTCTGGGCTACTATGTGGATCAGTTTTCCCCACATCCAGCTCCCCCAGCACCTTAGTCCTTTTCCCAGAAGCCTCTGCATCCTTGGTTTGGCGAGTCGCAGGCACTGTAAGAGAGACGGGAACTCTCTAGCAGGAAGTGACCCAAAGGCTCTAGAGTTGGACTTCCTGGCTCTTGGCTCCATTGTTGGGAATTCAAGGTGGATGTTGAGCTCCATCTGAGCTTCCATTCAGAGCTGAGAGGAGGCTGCAGGAGGCCTATGAGCTGGCCGTGGTTCTGGGCATCTCTCAGGTTCCCCATAAGGTATTCCAATTCAGCAGCAAGAAGTGGGCAGGAGGACTTGCCCTCCCACTTCTCATTTGGCTGTGCCTTTCCCCGGCTCATCTGGGGGCCTGTGGCCATGGTACCCACTCTGGATTCCTGCTCTCCACTCACCTGCAGCACCCCTTCTTGCCTGCCTCTGTTGTAGAAGCAAAATGTCACCATCCTGGACCACCACTCAGCCACAGAGTCCTTCATGAAGTACATGCAGAGCGAGTACCGGGCGCGTGGGGGCTGTCCGGCCGACTGGATTTGGCTGGTTCCCCCAATTTCTGGAAGCATTACCCCTGTGTTCCACCAGGAGATGATAAGCTATGTCTTGTCCCCTTTCTTCTACTACCAGGTAAGGTGGGCCTTCTCTCTTCTCTGTCTTGGGAGCACAGGTGTGGGGAGGGCAAGCATATGTGTGAGCAGGGTTCATATGTGAGAAGGGATGTGCAGGCACACATATGTGCCACACATGTATGCACACATACTCCCACATGGCTGCTTGCGAGACATGCCCTCCATTTAGGGCCGTCCAGTCTTGGCTTAAGGGAGCAGAGCCGCTTTTGTCCATTCAGAGTGGACAGAAGGAAGCAGATGCTTCTTACATGCCTCAGGGTCCAATGCTCTTCAGGCCACTGCGCCCCTGAAGATTAGTCATGGGGCTAACGGTGAAAAGCAAGAGGCTGCCTCCTGTGCCAGACATGTGGGCCGTGGGGGCTGCTTCCTGCCATGCCACCTGGGTGGGCGACACTACCCACCGAGAGCCCATGTCTAACAGGACAGGCACAAGTTCTGAGTTAGGAAAGGAGCTTGATGGATACAAGGTGACTACCGGTGAAAACACAGCCAGGCGTCCAGCCCAGAGCACACTCAGCCATAAGCTCACTCCTAGGCAAAAAAAGACTTTGGCTAGGGAGATAGCACAGTGCATAGGGTGCTTAACTTGCATGCAGCTGACCTGGGTTTGATCCCTGACATCCTGTATGTTCGCCCAACCCCTGCTAAGAGTGATTTCTGAATCCAGAGCCAAAGTAACCCCTGAGCATCACCAGGTGTGGCTCCAAAACCAAAATAATAAAAATAATTAATAAAGGGACTTTGACTTGGTGTGGAGACAGCAGCTTACACCTTGCACATGGATGACCCAGGTTTGACTCCAGGAACTCTATGTGGGTCCCACCAGAAGTGATCCCTGAACTCAGAGCCACAAATAATCCACAAGTAATCCCTGAGCACAGCAGGGTGTGGCCCAATCCCCTCCCCAGTAAAAAGTATCTCAGTTCAAACTTTATATTCTGGAGTCTTCCTGTGGTAAGACACTAAAATTAAAGGAGACTTGGGACCCCTTACTTCTAGGAGTCACTAATGAGAATGCAGTCAGCTGACTGACCACTCTGTCTGGCCCCATGGCAGCTGGACACTGAGGCTGACACTCTGAGGGGGGACAGATAAGTGGGGTGAACAGCACCACTCACTGGCTCACCTGTCCAGTACCCAAAGGGTTCCCTGCTTCTCCTACATCCCCCAGCCCTTGCCTAGCCAGGCTCCCCCGCGCCTCATCCACTTCCTTCTGTCCTGCAGGTGGAGGCCTGGAAAACCCACATCTGGGCAGACGGGAAGCGGAGGCCCCGTAGAAGAGAGATTCACTTCCGAATCTTGGTTAGGTGAGTGGCAGTGATCAGTGCTGGTGTTCATCCCTCAGTCCTTCCCTCTGCTCAGCTCCCCTCAGAGCTTGGGGGCCAGGGAACAAAGAGAAAGGTACTCTATGGAGGGTTTGACGCCCTCTGTTTGGAGAGCCCAGCCAATGCACCATCTTGACTGACTTGGTGCTTACCCCTTTCCTGGAGGAGAGGTGGTGGGTGGCGGTGAGGGTCTGGGTCACTGTTGATTGTAAGAACCTCTTCCTGTCACTTGCCATGTTTGGGTGCTACCCTGACCCCCGATCCCCATCCTTCTAAGAGACTGACTGAGCCCACAGGGTCCATATATCTGTCTCTCTGTCTGTTTGTCCCACAGGGCTGTGCTCTTCGCCTCTGTCCTCATGCGTAAGTCCATGGCATCTCGGGTCAGAGTCACAATCCTCTTTGCAACAGAGACGGGGCGATCGGAGACGCTGGCCCGGGACCTGGGGGCCTTGTTCAGCTGCGCCTTCAACCCCCAGGTGACCTGCTCCACTGACCTTGTTGTCTCCCCCTGTGCAGAGAATTCTGGGGAAATGAATGTGTTTGCTTTAACCCTGGTTGGCGTGGAGAAAGGCTGCTATACTTTATGAACTTGTGATAGGAGGGCAGAGTGTGTTCAGGGGTTCCCAAACATACAGTTAATAAGTTTCACATAGTGCTCCAAGGAACATAGTTAGAGGAACTTTTTCCCAATGAATCCAAGTTTTATGCAGACCCCAGAGGGTAAGGGATGAATGAGCCACAACAAAATCCCGAAGGAATGACAGTTCCTCCTTCATTGTGGGATTTTCTTCTTCACCAATCCCTCCTCAAGCAAGTTGGCCTGGACACAATGGCCCAGGGACACATTTCATCTGAGATTGCTGGGGACATTTATGGGGGGCAAGGGGATTTGGGGCCATACCTGGTGGTGCTCAGGGGCTACTCCTGGCTCTTGCATGCATGTGTTTCTGGGAGTCAAACCTTGGTTGACTGCATGCAAGATCAGAACCTTAGCCCCTGTGTTATCTCTCTGGCCCCTGACATTCTCTTTAGACCAGACATTTTTGTTCTGAAACCCCAAAGGCATTGTCAGTTTTGTGCCAATGCTATGTCAGTGGAAATTCCATCCACCCTGAGAATTCAAAGTAGCAGAGGAGGGACAGTCTCAGGGTGGGCTGATGTGCTGGCTGTGGGGCATGTGGGACAGGAGAATGTAGGGGAACATGTTCACTTGACAGCCTGACCTGTGGGAGGCCCAGGTTCCATTCCTGGCACCACAAGTTGCTCTGGGCACCACAAGTTGCCCTGGGCACCACTGAGGGGTAATTATGAGAAGCAGCTGCCACCTCTGTGCCCCACTGGGCCATTCTAGGGGTACAGAGATGGCACAGCACTAGCCCAGCCAGGTGGGGACAGGGTTGCCCAGGGCTGTGGAGGGCTGATTCCTGCCCCTTTCTGTGTCAGCAGGTTCTCTGCATGGACGAGTACCAGCTGGACAGGCTGGAGGAGGAGCGACTGCTGCTGGTGTTGACAAGCACATTCGGGAACGGAGACGCCCCCAGCAATGGGCAGGTGGGTGCCAGGGCCTCCAGGGGCCTAGGGAATGGGGTAGGGCCTGAGACCAAGGGCCCTTGGTGGGGGCATCTTGGGCAGTGAATCTTCTGCCCCTCTCTGATTGTCCTAACCGTGGCCATTTGCTGAGCCCCCTGGGGTTCTCACACTCCTGTGCCCATCAACTTCCCTTGTGCAATGGACAGATGAATGTTTAAAGGACTTTACAACATTACAATACAGAACACTCAGCTTGCTCTTCAAGACTGTGTTCTCCCTTGCACATGTATCTCGCTTGTTTATCTCTGTGTATTTTGCAGATGTTTTCACTCTGGAGAAGCCCATTTTCTCTCTTGAATACATCCCCCCCCTTTTCTCTTCTCTCGTGTCTTTATAGGCAAATATTGTTGAATAAAAAATACCTTACTGTACAAAAATGAAGTACAGAGCACTATGCGGCACTTTCCCAGTGGGAAGCCAGCAGAACTGTGAACCTGTGACAGCCAAAAACAGTTGCTGATTTTTATTTATTCTTTGATTTATTTTGTGTATTTGGGGAAGATGGCTCTCTGGCAGTGAATGGGGGTCCTGGGGCCATTCCTAGTGTTGCTCAGCCAGGCTGTGTGGCCCAAACAACTCAGTGCTTAGGTCATGCTGTGCTTAGGAGCTACCAGGGCTGCCCGTGGTTGTTCTTTGGGGCAGCAGTGAGGCTGGCTGTATGTGGTACAGGGTATTGAGGTCAGGGCCTCATACATGCAAGAACTGTGCTCCATTCCTTGGAACTCTCTCCCTGGCCCCTGATTGGCTTTTAGCTTGAGCTTCATCTTTGACTTTCTTTTATCTTCTGTTCTGTGTTGTGTTTTATTTCATTTTTTCCCCCCTTGGAAAAAAAAAACCGTGCCATGCTCAGGCGTACTTCTGGCTCTGCCCTCAAGGATCACTCCTGACAGTGCTCAGGAGACCCTAGGGGTGCTGTATTGAACCTGGATTAACTTCGTGCAAAGCAAACTATCACTCCAACCCCCATTTTCTGTTTGTTCTTGTTTCAGGGACACACCAAGTAGTACTGGGGCTAGGGGCTCCTCCTGGCTCACTGCTTAGAGGTTGCTCTTGGTAGTGCTCAGAGAACTTTGAGCACCCAAGATCAAATCAGAATACATGCACTTGAACCCTTCAAACCAGTTTTCTGGCCCTATCTTTGGAGGGTGTGGGTCAGGGGACACACCTGGGAATGTTCAGGTGTGACATCTGGAGGTATTCAGGAGACCATAAGGTGGTGCTGGTGATTCAAACCAGGGTTGGCAGAATACAAGGCCATCACCTTACCACTGTACTATCTCTCTAGACTTCTTACGTTAGCTTTATAAAAAGAGGGATAGGCAGATGGTGCCAAGAGTGGCAAGCGAAAGAAAAAAAGAAAAAGAAATAAGGATTAGGCCAGCACTAGAAAGGTGTTAAAGCTCGATTAACATCAGGGAATTCCTAGTGGTCAAATGTCAAAGGTATATTCAAATTGTTTAAGTATTCAGAAAAGAAAATACTTTCTTGGGGCCAGGAGAGTTCAGCAGGTAGGGTGCTTGCCTTCCTATGTGGCCGACCCTGTTTCAATCCCTGGCACCCTTTATGGTTCCCAGAGCCTCACCAGGAGTGATCCCTGAGCTCAGAGCCAGGAGTGAGCCCAGAGTAACACTGGTTCTGATGTCCTCACCCGATCCCCCGCAAAAAACCTTTTTTACCAAAGTGGTTTGACACTGTCTACTGGGTCACATGCCACTTAGAATCCTGCACCAAAACCCTGCATCAGGGTTATTCTGGGAACATCAGGGTCTTTTGCCTCCCCCACACCACAACACTCAGGTCAGTTTTCTGAGGTATCTCCCAGCCTGTTAGGGACCCCCTGGAATACTGGCAGGCCCCCTTCCACTGGGCATCAGGGCCAGGGAACTGGGCTGCTCTGCATCCTCTGTCAAGGCTCAGGGCCACCTGAGCTGTTGAGGTGGATCTTGTCTGTGAGCCCCAGCTGGGTGGCCACACACAGACATGCTGCAGATCTGGAACCTTCTGTTCAATGTGGACCATATTAAAGGGGGGACAAGGTACAGAATATTTGTTCAACTGGCCCTGAGAACAGTGGTTCTCTCTCTTTCTAGAAATTCAAGAAATCCCTCTTCATGCTGAAAAAGCTGACCAACAAGTTCAGGTAAGACTCCCCCCTCTCCCTCTTGAGCCCAGAGTTCAGGGTCAGAGGTCAGCGGTGCTGGAGTCAGGGGTCATTGAAGGAGACAGCCTCTGGACCATCTTTCTTCTTTCTTGAAAAACATTTTTAAATTAGATCACCATTTTGAATCACAGTTACAAAGTTATTCATTGATTGAGTTTTTATCATAACAATGTTCAAGCACCAATCCCTTCATCAGTGTCCCCGGTTTCTCCTACACCCCTCAAACTGCATCTAAGGCAGACACTTTATACCTCCTTTCAGCACTCAGTCCTCCCCCAGAGTGACCACTTTTGTCCACCAATGTTGTATTGTACCCGTAAGTGTCAAGCTTCCTATTGTAAACCAGTTCACTAATTGTTTCTACTGCCTTTGGGCAATTGTAATTCCTCTCCCATGGTTATATCCCACATATGAGAGAGATTGTTCTGTTGAAGATTTTAGTTCTGATACAAATGCTGTAAAGACTTTCCCAGAAGTGTCTGAAATTTTGCCATGGTATATACCATTTAATCATAGAACCTGAAAAGATAGAGACCAAGAAAATTGTGAACAAGGCACAAATTCTTTTTTCTCTCCTAATTCCTCTTTAGTTATCTTACAATTAATATTCACAACCCCCATGAATTATCTATATTCTGTATTTCTTCATTTTTAGGCATCATGTTCCAATATACATCATGCACACTGATCTCTCCCAACATCAATCCAAGAATAAATACAGAGAGAGAGAGAGAGAGAGAGAGAGAGAGAGAGAGAGACTCACTTTGCATGCTCAAGGCCCTGACAAACCTGTCTTTAACCTGCAAACTCTGCCTCCAAGGCTATGACAGGCTATGCCTGTCACTAGGGACCTGCAGTGCCCCCCAAGCAGATGGTATTTGGCAGTCCTGAACCTGGCAGTATGGGGGTGTCAGAGGCTGTTGGTTGATGCTTGCATGGGTGGGCTCACCCCATCTGTGTTCCTCCTTGGACAGGTACGCCGTGTTTGGCCTCGGCTCCAGCATGTACCCTCAGTTCTGCGCCTTTGCTCATGACCTTGACCAGAAGCTGTCTCTCCTGGGAGCATCTCAGCTCAGCCCCACCGGAGAAGGGGACGAGCTCAGCGGGCAGGAGGAGGCCTTCCGCAGCTGGGCCGTGCAAACCTTCAAGGTCCGTTTCCCAGGAGGAGTTGCCTGACTGCATGCACAGGGCTGGGGCTGGGGCTGGGGCCGGGGGTGCATGCCCAGGACCTCGGTGCCCAGTGTCCCGGGAGGTCTGGCCTCCCAGGCTTGAGCACTCAGGTCTCTCCTGCTCCCCTCCTGGTAAAGCTTGACTTGGCCTGTGCCCTGGTGGGGGAGTGACAGATTCCTTCCACCCAGGGGCGCCTCTGGGTTATGATCTATCCCCCTCATGAAGATCACCTCTTCTCTTTTCCTGTTTGTTTACTTTGAGACCACACCTGGCAGTACTCAGAGCTGACTCTTGACTCTGTTCTCAGGGATCACTTCTGGTCATTCACAGGGGACTGTATGGGATGCCAGAGATTGAATCTAGATTATGTGCATGTGAGACTAATGCCCTACCCACTGTCCTTGCTCCAGCCCATCACAGATCATCTCTTGACCTTTCAGTGTTGTCTCCAGGTCCAAGCACAGAGAGACTGGGGACTGTACACAACTGAATCCTTCGTGCCGATCTTGGTATCTCAGAGTACCTGCGGCTCTCTCTCCTGCTGATTTAGAGGTGCCTGCGTTCAGGCCAAGCATTTGGCTTGACAGTTGTGGCTTGACTTAGAACAGAAGGGCTACCACGCCCTGGTCCCTGGGGACACTGGGAGTCACCCAGCTACCTCTGGCATGGACATAGAGCTCAGTATTGACATGGGGTGCTTCCTATTTTTCTGACATGCCGCTATAAGGAAGGAAGTGGTGGTGATAAACACTGCTGCTCCCTTTTCTTCCAGGCGGCCTGTGAGAGCTTCCAAGTCCGAGGCAAACAACACATTGAGATCCCCAAGCGCTACAGCTGCAACGTGGACTGGGAACCACAGCGCTACAGGCTGGTGCAGGACTCACAGCCTTGGGACCTCAGCAAAGGTACATCCCCCGCCCCTTTTCACATCTCAGGGGGCTGGCTTGTCTGTCCTTCCTGTCTAGGAGGGGATTCTGAGTCCTCCGGGGGTGGTCTCCGAAAACACTAGGGCCCTTGGAACAGAGGGCCCCAAGCATCTCTCTTACTGCATCCAAGACCCTATTGGAAAATGATCCTGTCTGGGGAGCAGGTCTAGAAAGCGCTGTGGGTGGGGGGGTGCGGAGGAGGGCGCCCAAATCCCCTGGACATGAGCAGCTCGGCTCACTGCTCTGAGAGCCTGCGCTCATCTTGCAAGCCAGCTCAGAAAGGGAAGTTGAGGGAGGTGAGGCCAGCCATCTCCATGAGACAGCTGGGATAGGAGCTCCAAGCATTCTCCACCTATGAGGTGACACCAAGCCCCCACCACAGAGCTACAGTCTGACCCCGTCCCATTGCGGGTTCTAGGTGGGGTGGAGCCAATCTGTAGCCCCGCCCATTGTGGGATCTAGGTGGGGCAGGCCATCCTGTGGCTCCGCCCCTTTCCTGCATCCTGCCCCTTTCCTTGGAGCCCTGTATTGCAAGAAAACAAAACAGTTTGGGTAGGTTGGGGGGGGGGGGGGGGGGGGAGAGGAAAGAAAACCTCAGCATGACAGCAGGGACTCCACGACAGAGCCCTGGAGTCACGGCAAGTAGCGCTGTCTCCAGCCACGCAGAAGAGTCCCTCACCACCTCCCCGGTTTTCCCCGCAGCCCTGAGCAGCGTGCACGCCAAGAACGTGGTGACCATGAGGCTCAAATCTCTGCAGCCCCTCCAAGGCCCGAAATCCAGGTAGGGGAGAGGGAGGGGCTTCCAGAGGTTTCAGGCAGGCCCAGTTTCAGAGAAGGACAGGAAGACCCAGAGCAGAGGGAGAGGAGACCAGTGTCGGTGTGTGTCAGCAGTGAGCACATCCGCAGGACCCGCTTGGTGGATGATCCCCGCACCTTTCTGTCTGGACCGAGTAGGCCACGGACCCCTTCCAGCACAGAATCTCATCCTCTTCTTCATCACTGAACTCAGCCAAAGGGGAGCAGCAGAAACACAAATTCTTTGCGTGTGCTGGGGTGGGGGTGGGAGTGCCCAAGTGTTGCTCAGGGGACCCTGGGTCACTCCTGGTGCTATTCAGACAACTCAACTGGATGGCTTGATGCTCAGGCCCAGCCATGTGGTGCTGGGAGCCTCCAGGGCCATAGCCAGCAGTGCCAGAGGTCTCCAGGACTGTACCCACCCACACTCAGGGACCATGCAATGCTGGGGCTCCAACTGGGTCCCTGTACCAGCAGGCTTTGCAGCCCCCAGATCTACATATTCTCCTGAGATTCTAGACCTGAGCACAGAGCTAGACGCAACCCTTGAGCCCCGCTAGGTATGACCTTCCCCCACCCCCCCACCCAAACCAGAACTTCATGAGAAATTTTGGTGGGGAGTGATAAACCTCACCCAAAGTGAGTGATTATTGGGGATCACCTATAGTTTTCTGTAGATTATCTGTAAGGGGAAGGACTCAACTGCCAGTGCTTAGAGGCTGCTCTAGTGGAGTTTGCCCAGGCCAGGCTGGCAATGATCAGGGAGTTGAGCAACTCTGGAGAGCAAACTCAGGGCCCTACTCCTGAGCTCTTTCCCTGACTTTCTATAGATTTTGTTTCTCTGGGCTGTGCATCCCCATTCAGCAGGAAAACTACTTCTTATTCAAGGAAGAAGAGGGTTGGTGCCAAAGACAAGGGAAACTTGTTCTAACGCCCACATATCTCTGGGTCTGGGGAGTGGAGGTGCTTTCCTTTTGTGTAGTCTGTGGTCAAGCACCTAGGGGTCTGGGGGGGGGGCGGCGCTCAGCCCAACTCTCCCCACAGAGGAACCACAGAGCCCAGTGAGCCCCGGACCCTCCTGCCTGTGTCCAGGCCAGAGACCCACACTCAGGAGTCAGGAAGGAAAGGCCCAGGCCCAGGCTACAGGGCCTATTTCTTGGGTCATGGTCCCCCATGGGGCCCGAGAGAGAGGCCTGGTGGTGCCCCCAGAGGCTCCTTGTCTCCCCCGCCAGCCGCTCCGTCCTCCTGGTGGAACTTTCCTGCAAGGACTGCCCTGGCCTAAGCTACCTGCCTGGAGACCACCTCGGGGTTTTCCCATGCAACCAGCCAGAGCTGGTCCAGGGCATCTTGGAACGCCTGGCAGATGGCCCTGATCCCCACCAACCTGTGAGCCTGGAGACCCTCGACGATAAAGGTGAGCCCTTCCCAGGAGCTTTTCTGAGAGCCCAGCATCTTACCCCGACCCCCCAGCCAGATCCTAACTCGGGAGCAGCTGACTGCTCTGACAGGGTGAGGGGACGAGCAGTGCAATCCTGGAAGAAATTTCTTTGACCCTTCCCAGAGTCAGGGCTTCTGCTTCTTTCTTTTGCTCATCCTACCCTGAGTTTTGTGGATGGACTGGTTCATTTATTGTTCAGACATTTGTTTACTTATTTATTTGTGTTGGGGCCACACCCAGTGGGGTCCAGGGGGTACTCCAATTTCTGTGCTCAGGGCTCCCTCGTGGTGCTGCTCAGGGAACACTGGTGCTAAGGAAAGACCCCAGGCTGCCTTCTGCCTACAGGACACGTGCTCAGCCATTGAGCCTTCTCTCCGGGCACTGCTCCCTGCCTAGGATAGGATCCAGAAAGACAAGGACTTTCACAAGCATGTAGATGATGATGGTAATAGCAGCAGTGAGCATTAGTTGAACAATGACAGACTCGTGCATGTTCTATGCATCAGGTGCCCCATTTGCTGGGTAATGTAATAAAGAAATGCACAAACAGTGCGGAATAGTGAGCACTGAAGGGTAGATCCTGAAACCAGGAGCAGACCCACTAAACCAGACACCTGGCTTCGTCTACCTGTGGAGATGCTAGAGCCTTCCTTGGCGGGTGACAGAGAAAGTCCCAGTGAGGGTTTCCTTCTGATATGGAGGCCTGAGGAGGGGATCCCTACACAGCCTTCACTGCCACTCCTGGCACCAACTGGAGGCAAAAAGGGAGAGCTGTCACTTCCCACGGGCTCATGCAAATTCATCCAAAAGGCCAAGAAGGGGTTAATCCTCCCTGAGTCTCCCCAGCCCCACATGTGTTACCTCCTTGCCTGTCATTTCTTCTTGCTTCCTCCTCCAGCATCTCATTTATCTTCCCTTCACTGGACAATGTGGGGGGGGGGGGGGCAGGGTAGGCCAATGACCAGAAGGGTGTGGCTCCCCTAAGCCCTTGTTTCAGGGAGGCCCAAGGACCTCTTTCTGTGCTCAGGAGTGGACTGTGGGAGCACAGCCCTGGGCCAGTTCTAGGGACAGGAAAGAAACTTATGGATGGGGTCTCCCCACAGACCACCCATGCCTCACTGATGTATGCCCTGAGGAGAGGAAATTGGGGGTCTAAGACATAGTGTGTGGCACTGTCACACAGTTCAGGAGAGAGGAGGGAGCCAGAAACTGGGGTGCAAGGAGCCAGAGAACCCCGTGAGGGGCAGGGGCCTGTCCACGGTCCATCAAGTCTCGGGTATGCATGAAACAAAGGATGCCCATTTTCCCTGGTATTTCCTGAACACTGTCCTGGTGCTCCTCACCCCATCCCTGACGTTGTTCCATTCAGGCAACCCCCACAAGGTCAGGGCAACATCTCAGCCATTTCCCAGAAAGGGAGACCCTGGCACCAAGGGCGGGGGGTCCCCCAGCTGGGGCTGGGGGGAGTGGGGAGCTGGGTCAGAGCCAGTTATGCTGAAGCACTACACTCTGCCTCTGGGGACAGGTGGGGATGTGCCCCTTCACTTAGAACTGACCTGCTGTTCCCCAGGGTCCTCCAGTCATCGACCTTCAATGAGCAACCGGGGGCCTGGGGAGATGACTTAAGGGACTGGAACTTTATCTGTGGGAGCCCCACATTCACCCCCAGAGCCATGTGCAAAAACATAACAAGCGTGGGGCCGGAGTGAGAGCAAGAGTGGGGAGGGTGCTTGAGGCACCAACATCCTGGGAGGTTTAGTTGTTGGGCATCTCTGGTCCATCAGAGGGTGCCCTGAGAAAGCCTGGGTCTGGTCCAGAGGGGGCTTGCACTCCACTGTGGTTGGTCTTGCCAGATCACATCAACATGCTGCCCTTTGGAGGCACCAGACTTCTCTGCACTTCTGAACTCTGCACACCACTGTCCTTTGCAGCTGGCACTTCAGAATCTTCTCTCCTTGTAGCTAAGGGGTAGTGCTTTCCGGCCTAGAGGCCTTTTCAGCCTTTGGGGCCCAGTCACAGTTTTGTTCCTGACAGTCTGACTCCTTCCGCCCCTATTCAGGAAGCTACTGGGTCAGAGACCAGCGGCTACCTCCCTGCTCCCTCAGCCAGGCCCTCACCTGCTTCCTGGACATCACCACGCCCCCCAGCCAACAGCTGCTCCAGAAGCTGGCACTGCTCGCTGCGGCCAAGGAGGAAAGGCAGCAGCTGGAGGAGTTGAGCCAGGTGACAGGGGTGGGGGGGCTAGCGGGGAGGCTGGGGCAGGAGTAGGGTGCAGGCTAAGGAGGGATGCACCCACACTTCCCCATGTGAGACTTACCCAGGCCTGGGTGTGGAGTCAGGCACCCTCGGACCCCATGGCCCCGAGTGTGTTCATTTTGAATGAATTGAATTTTGGAGCATACGCAGGAGGCAACCTGAGCATAGCCCTCAGAACTGGAGCTAGAAGTCCTGGCCACCATGTCCTGCTATCTCTGTGCTCCCCAGAAGAGCAAGCTCAGAATGTCACAAGTGTGGAAGGATAAGACATTGGATGTGTGGGGAGAAGAACATAGAGATATTCATGTGGCGTCTAGAATAATTAGTTTATAATAAGATAACTAGTTGTGATGAGTCTTTTAAAATCAATTTCTTGATTCTATTTCTTTTTTGTGGAGCTGGGGGTTGAACCCAGGTCTTATGCCTGCAAAGCAGGCACTCACATTGAGAAATCCTTCCAGCCCCTAATTCATTAGTTTACTTCAGAGAATGAAGGGATCCAAAGTTACTGTGTGTAGTTTTCCTGACATCATCCTTGCTAACCACATGGATTTCATCCACTACCATTATGTACCAGGGGCTGTTCTGTAAAAAACCCCAGCACAAATTCTGTGTATATGTGTGTGTGTGTGTGTGATAGTGGTGTGGTGTGTTTGGGACACACATGTCGCTGCTCAGGGGTTACTCCTGGTTCTGCATTCAGGAATAACTGCTAGTAGTGTGTTTAAGGGACCATATGGGATGCCAGGGTCTGAGCCTGGGTTGACTGCATGCAAGGCAAATGCCTTACCTGCTGTACTATCTCTGCAGCCCCACAAATTTTCTCTTTTCAGAGTAACAGTATCCCTGTTAGGTATGCAACATTGGCCTCCATTCACAAGAACATTAAGTGTTGTGTGAGTATTCTTTCGATCAGAGGTGCAGAGTCAAGACACGCAAGAGGAATGTAGAGAGCACGGAGGGCCAAGGCATCCATCTGGCTCGAGGCAAAGAGCGACTGTCAGAGGCCTCCTTTTATTCTATTTTTTTTATCAGTTACATCCTAATGACTTCATCACAGAGAAAGAATCACTAACGAGAGTACAAACAGTTATAGGATGAGCATTCATCAAAAGAACATCAGGGTATACATTGTCTTGTCAAAGCTACGTTGTCAAAGCTATGTTGCAATTTAGGATATGTGCTGTCAAAGCAAGCACATATGAAAGCTATGTTATAATGATTAAAACATCAGAGGAAGATATGGAGCTAGACACATAGGCTCTACAGATCATGTCCCCACATTCTTGTGGTCGGTTACACATAGGGCAAAGAGAAGGCTCATACTGATACTTGAAGGTCAATCCAGGTTAAGGATGTGTAAGAGAAGGGGAAACTGCTGCCTTGGACTGCCAAGATAAGGTATGACCAGGCGGGTGTATGAGAGCATGCTGTACTTCTCCAGATCATCGGATTCATAAATCTTAGCTTGTCCACTTAATGTAAAAGTAGGGCCTTGGTTCTGCTTCCTGCTTGCAGGGCAGGGCCCAGGGCTCTTCCTAATGTCCTGGCTTAGCACCAACAACTAAGTATTTTGACGCAAATCCCTGTGAATTAGGATGTCCGGACCAGATCTGAACTCGGGATTCTGTGATCCCTGGGCCTTGCGCTTAAGTGGATTGCAATTAAGATCTGATTTCTGTTCAGGAGAGGTGAATGTTGAAGGTTTAAGCGCATGAGTGAGTCATCAGATGGCTTCCTGCCCAGTTTGCTCAGTGTCAGCACCCTGGACAGCGGCCGGGGCTGCGCGCCTGTCCGGGCGCAGAGCGGCTGGGAAGGGGGAGTGGATCGCCACATCCTGTGCGCCCCTCACACCCTCCCCGACTTTCAGCCCTCAGAGTACAGCAAGTGGAAGCTCGCCCACAGCCCCACGTTCCTGGAGGTACTGGGGGCGTTCCCGTCCGTGCGGGTGTCCGCCACCTTTGTGCTCTCGCAGCTCCCGCTGCTGAAAGCCCGCTACTACTCCATCAGCTCTGCAGCCGCGCACGTGCCCTGTGAGCTCCACCTGACCGTGGCCGTTCTCACGTACCGCACCCAAGGTGAGGCGGCGCCAGGCGGGCTCCCCCGGGGTGGAAACATGTGACTCGGGTGTGAGCAGGGCGCTGAGCACACCTGGGTCGCTGCTTTATGGGGAGGCTGGAGATGCCCCTGGGGGAGGAAGTGGGTGCAGAGGTCATGCTCAGTGTTAGTAAGTGAGGAACCCGATCAGACTCGTCGTTCTGCGGGGCAGCGCATGCCCGCGAGGAATATTGTTCAAGGATTGGGGTCGCCTGTGTGGTGCTGGGCATGGCACCCGGTCATCTGGCACCCAGCAGTGTTTCCTGTTTGGAGCCTGGTGCATGTAAGGCAAGACCTCTGGCCCTGAACCCCTATCCCACCCTGAGTCTTGGCCTCCCTGCTGAAGTTCTTTTATGTTGTTTGAGGGCTGCACATAAGCTTGCAGTGGGATTTGGGGGCTCCTCCTGGTATGGTGAGACTCTGCAGTGCTCGGGGGACCACGTGGTCCTAGGGATCATTGCACGGTCCTTTGCAAAGCACACACTCTAGCCCATTTGGGCTATCTCCCCCTATTTAAGTTCTGCGTCCCTCTTGATTCCAGGATATTTGAATGAAGTGGGCTGGGCAGAGTTTGATCTCAGAGAAGCTGAGAGGCTTTGAGGCATCCTCCTAGTTCAGCCCTAGTTTGGGGTGACTCCAGTGGAGACAGTTCCTCCCCTCACATCTCAGCAGGGCCAGTCCTGCCTCCTGAGCTTCTCTCCCAGTGGCCCGTGGTGCATGCCTCAAGTGTAGCTGTGGAGGATCAAGCCCCGGCCTGACCTCTCTCTCTCTGTCTCGACGAGAAGATTCTCACAGACATAGGAGAGCAAAACCGAACTGACCACACTTCTCAGTTCAAATGGAGGGACTGGTGGGGAGGGACTGTGTTCCAGAGAAAGCCGGGGTTCCACAAACCAAGGAGGGCTGTGGGGGGAGACAGTGAGGAATGGGAGCAGACAGAGTGCTCAGGAGTGCTGTGACTCCTGGGTCTCTGCCCGCAGAGGTTGTCCCTACAGGTCCACTCTGAGGGCCACTCCTGGAAATGCTTGAACAGGCCCCTGGTCAGAGACAGGCATGCAAGCTGTTTCCCAGGGGCTGTCGGCAGCTCAGTGGCTGGGTCCGGGTCCCTTTCTCCCTGACATTCTATTTCAGACCAGAGAAGGGCCTTATTTGCACATCCTTGACACAGCTCTGGGTCTAGGCAGTTGATCTCAGGACCAGGGCTGGAGAGCAAGTTCAGGGGACCAGGCGCTTGCTTTGCAGGCACCAACCCAGGCACCACATATAGTCTCCCAGGTCCTGCTAGGAGTGATCTCTAAGTGCAGAGGCAGGAGTAAGGCCAAAAGCCCTCAGGATGTGACCCAAAAAGCAAAACGAAAATTAATGGACTGGAAGAGAAACAGCCCCTTCTAAAAGGCAATGGAGGCACCACTCAAGGTGCCACCAGGGGGCGCTGTTGCTCAGGCGCTGTCGTCCTTGCAGCCGGCCAGGGTCCCCTGCATCATGGCGTCTGCAGTACGTGGCTCAGCAGCCTGAAGGCTGGAGACCCAGTGCCCTGCTTTCTGCAAAGGTAACCCCCCTCGACTTGCCCCCTGGAAGGCCCTCTGACCCTGGGGAGTTGTTGGTGAAAGAGAGGGATCTGGAGGTTGCTGTTTCTGACCAGTGGCTTAGAGTTGCACTGACCTCTCTCCCCCTGGCTATTACGGGCCCACCCACCTACCCACAGAGAGAGCAGACAGCAGTGAGCGGGAGGGGCCTGGGAACCAGGAGGCCTGGCCCTTTTCCAGGGCAAGGGTGGTGTGGCCCGCAGGAAATTAGATGTCTTGACACCCTAACACCATGTGACCCCACCCTGGCCTCATGGCTCCATCATTCTGTCCCGGTCAGTGCCAACAACTTCCAGCTACCCCAGGACCCCTCTCAACCTTGCATCCTTGTCGGGCCTGGCACGGGCATCGCCCCCTTTCGCAGTTTCTGGCAACAGCGGCTCTATGAAGCTGAACACAAAGGTGAGGGGAGTTCCCAGGGTTCTGAGTAGGGGGAGAGGTGTCCTGGGGGAAGAGAGGGGCCATGTGGCCAGCATGATCTGCCAGGAGAGTAGCCCTACCCATAGGCCTTCCCTGGTCCCCATCAGGGCCTCAGCCTGTGTAGGCCCACAGGGTCAGCATCACTGTCCTCCTGTCAACAGGGCATTTTCCAGGCGGCCACGGTGCAGAGAAGAGCCTCACTCCGATGGCTGGGAAATAGCTGAGGCCTAATGCGCAGGCTTCACATGCAAGACCCTCAGATTCTATTCCCAGCCACCAGTGATCTCTCAGCGCTGCTGGGAATGATTCCCAGGCACTGTTGGGTGTAGCCCCAGATTTATTATTTATTTACTTTTGTTTTGGGGGCCACACTTAGCATTGCTTATGAGACCATATGGGATGCCCAGGATCAGACCCAGGTTAGCCAGGTGCAAGGTGAGAGTCCTACCTGCTGTACTACTGCTCTGCCTCTGTGATCCAAAAACTGTAAAGAAAGAAAAAGCAAAGCCTCGCTTTTGACCTCCAGTGCGCTGGCTAGAATCCCACTTCTGTATGCAACCGTGCTGAATTCATCTGAATATCCGAGGCTTCCTCTTAGCCATGAAAATGGGGACAGTTCTGGGGCTTAAAATGAGAATTGAGGGGCCAGAGCGATAGTACAGCAGGTACAGTGTTTACCTTGCATGCAGCTGACCCAGGTTCGGTCCCTGGCATCCCATATGGTCCCCTGAGCATTGCCAGTAGTGATTCCTGAGTGCAGGGCCAGGAGTAACCCCAGAGCACTGCCTGGTGTGACCCAAAAATGAGAGAGAGAGAAGAGGGTGGGGGGAGGGAGAGAGAGAGGTGTGGGGAGGGAGAGAGAGAGGTGGGGGCTGGAGAGAGAGAGAGAGGTGGGGGAGGGAGAGAGTAGATAATTGAACCAGCAGCTCATCCAGCCTGGCCCCATGGCCCGCCCCCGTGGTGGCCACTCTGCTCACTGCAGCCCTCTGGGTTTTCTGGCAGGGCTCCAGGGTGGTCGCCTGACCCTGGTGTTTGGATGCCGCCACCCAGACCAGGACCACCTCTATCGAGAGGAGATGCTGGAGATGGTCCGAAAGGGGGTGCTGCATGAGGTGCACACAGCCTACTCACGCCTGCCTGGCCAGCCCAAGGTAAACGCGGCCAAAAGCGGGTGGCATGTTAGAAGCTGACTCAGCTCTAAGATGAAGGCAGAAGCCTTGAGGTCATGCTTCTTCCTTCTTCTTTTCCAGGAGAAGCAAATGGGGGATCACATGCTGAGTTAATCCCCAGCGGCCCTGGGGTTCATGAATGCCAGGGAAGAGGTGGTCTAGGCCGGCTTATGCTCAAAATGACTGGGGACAGCTGCTGCCCACCAAGGAACCTGACCCCAGGGGACACTACACCCCCCACACACTAGGAGCCAGGGGGATTGGGACCTGATCTGGGTTCATTCTGTGTGAACCTATCCCTTAGCGTTCCTCTCAGAACTTGGGGTCTCACGTGGCGCAGAAGCCACAGTCCCAGAGGAAGGGACTCTGGGGGTACCCACAGCTGCTGGCCTGCGAGGGTTCCATTTCCCCATGGAGGAGGAGGGCCTCACGCCCCCCGGGGAGTGGTCGGTCGAACCCCTCCTTGATGCTTGGTGAAGCCCCTGGGTGCAGCTGGCACCCGCCTCTCCTCCAGGAGTGCCCAGGCAGGGAGTGTGTGCTCCCAGCCCCTCACTGTCCCCGTAGACCCGAGCCGGCTACAGGGGCTGTGCCCATGCTCTCCCGGTTTCAGGTCTATGTGCAGGACGTCCTGCGACAGCGGCTGGCAGGTGAGGTGCTCCGCGTGCTACTTGAGGAGCGAGGACACATCTACGTCTGCGGGGATGTGCGCATGGCCCGCGACGTGGGCCTCACCTTGAGGCAGCTGGTGGCCGGCGCCCTGGGCCTGAGTGAGGAGCAGGTGGAGGATTATTTCTTCCAACTCAAGGTATGGCAGCTGCTGTGGGCTCTGAGATGCAGGTGCGAGGCACAGAGTGGGGAGCCCGGAGGGGGTGGGAGGTAGAGTCAGGCTTACAGCAGCCTTGGGTCCCAAAGGGGAGGTATTCGTGCCCCAGCTGTGTGCCCCATCCCCATGGAAGGGGCAGCTGAAGGAGACCCAGCCTTTGTGCCGCTCAGCTGCGTCACCAAGCAGAGTCCCCTGAGCACCCTGCTTTCAGAACACCCCTGTGCAGCCCACCGACCCAGAGAGGGCAGGCAGGGCCCAGGGAGGGGTCAGCAGTAGAGCACTGGTCTTGCCTGTGTGAGACCCTGAGTTCGACTCTCAGCACAGAGAAAACAGCCAACTAAGAGGGCATGGCTGCGGGCAGCAGGGCAGGAAGGCCACCTCCTCCCTCTGACTGGCACTCTCGTATCATGCCATCAGCCCAGCAGCAGTGACACAGACCCGCCTCTCACTGGCCCTCTGAAGAGCTTCACAGAGTTGTTCTGGAGACTTTATAGAAGGTGGGGGGGGGACATCTTCCCCCCCTCCCCGTTTTACAGAGAGGGAGGCCCCCACATGCTGTTCACAGTAATGAGAATGTGGGTCTGAGGTCGAGCATGGGGGTCTGGGGTTGGCGTGCTTCGGGGGTTTCTGAGCCCTGGTGGACCCCAAGGATGCAGCACTGCTGGGCTCCATTCATGCCACTGAGCAGTTACTGCGCCCCCTAGTGACAGGGGCTCAGCAGTCACTAAACAGGCAAGGACAGATGAAAGCTGGAGGTAGGGGATGAAGCAGGGAACAGGATGGAGAATTAAGGGGGCATTTTCATCAGGGTGGTCAAGGCTGGTATCACTGAGAAAGCTTGGAAGATACTGATGGTGAGGCAGAGGCCTGCGGTGTTCAAGGAAAGAGTGGGGGCTGGGTGAGGGGAGTAGCACATGGGGGCCGCGGGGTGGGACCCGATGCACACGTACATCAGTGGGACAGCAAGGTCCCAGGTGACACCCTAGCTGAGATCCATGCGTTAGAGCAATATGACATCACAGAAATCACAGGTTGGGCTGGGGAAATTGTACGGGGGTTATAGTGTTTGCCTTGCACACAGCTGACCTGGGTTTGAATCCTGGGCACTCCTGAGGGTCCCCTGAGCCCCACCAGGACTGATCGCCACCAGGACTTATTTCTGAGCAGTTGGTTAGTGACTTCCAGTATAAAAGTGACAAGGTCGAGTGGAACAAAGGCGAGGACACAGCTCTGCTCCATGGCTTCTCTGCCATCCAATGCCATGACCCCCTCAGGACTGGGTGGCATCTCCCCAACATTTGCCTCTTTACCCCGGAGGCTGCTGCAGGCACTTGTCTGTCGGAAGTATGGGGCAAGATTTAGGCGCCCAGCAGAGCACATGATCTGAGCCAGACCCCAGCAACAGCCAAGCTGGTCAGTGGGGGGGCTCCTCCTGCATGACTATGGGACCCCGGTGATTCAGCCAGATGAACCTCACAGGGGACAGGCCAGTGGGCCCACTTAGTGGGATGTGTTTTGCCTTGCAGAGCCAGGAGCGTTACCATGAGGATATCTTTGGTGCTGTGCTTCCCCGTGGGCAGAGGAAGGACGAGGCCATAGAGCAGCCCAGCAACCCCAGAGCTCCAGTCACCAGCACAAGAAGTTGAAAGTGCGGGCACTGATATACCCACCTTTCCAGTGCGATTCTCTGCCATCTCTGCACCAGGGTGGTGGAGGGAGAGTGTAGTTGAAGTCTCAGATCCTATTTCCCCAAACACTTTACTTGACCTGCTACCAAGTAGCAGCCTGGAACGATGGAGCACCGCGTCTTTCTTATGTCCATCCTGCCCTGGAGAACAGAAACTGGGACCCCCCTGGATGCCTCAGAGATAAACTGCAAGACTGCCTGGGCAAGTGGCTACAGAGGAAGTGTCTTCTGATTACATCGCTTCATGTGGCCATTAGGGGGTGCTGTCACCACCGCTCGCTCCCTTCCCCCCCCCCCCGCCCCGCCCCTCTCGCTCTACCCTTTGTCCCTATATTTATATTCCTATATTTAAAAACACGAACCCAGTCAGCTCTGGAGGACCCCTTGGGCTTTCCCAGTGGAGATATTTATACAAAAATATATTTTATTTGAACCACATTGCATGTCTGTATGGGAAAGCTGTCTTGAGTTATGCAGAGGTGGGCTCGGGAGCTTGTGGGTTGCCAGTGCCTGAACAAAGATCTCCATAAACTAAATGCACCTGCCAGGCTACTCTGCTTCTCTGGAAAGGACCAGTTGCAGGGCCAAGGGGCAGACATTGTCTGACAGCGGGCCCTGGGTTCAATGGCCTGGAGCACAGCCCCAGGAGGCATCACGATCTAAACTACATTTCCTGCCTGAGAGAAGCAGGCCAGACTTCTGAGGGGGTCAGCAGGGGCCAGCAGGGGGCCAGCAGAGCCTGCATTTGGCCTTGGCTTCATCTGCAAACGGCCCCGCCCAGCAGCAGCTCCTGAGAGGGCTGACAGGGAGCCGGAGCCCCAGCCTTGGCTGCAAAACTGAACTGACCACACTTCTCAGAGTTCAGGATCAGAGATACATCTCCTGCCTGAGAGAAGTAGGCCAGACTTGCCCTTGCGAGGGGGTCAGCAAGGGCCGGCAGGGAGTCAGCGGTGCCTGCATTTGACTTGGCGTCATCTGAAAATGGTCCCTCCCAGCAGCAGCAGCTCCTGAGAGGGCTGGCAGGGAGTGGGAACCCCGGCCTCGGCTGCACCCACCTTGCTGTCACCACCACACAGCAGGACCCCTTTCCCTGGTCAAACCACACCGAGGCCAGTTTCCCACCAGCACCCGCTGCTGGGCACCCCCAGCCAGCCCTCTCGGGATGCGGGCCCAGTCCTCAGTCTCTCCAGAAGCAGAGCTCCTTTTCTGGGCTTGCCAGGTCCCAAACGTCCCGCCTCAGATTCTAGCCCAAGAGGCCCAAGTTCGGTTTGGACCCTCCAGAGGGGCGTGGGGGACCCTTGGAGTGTGTGGGCATCAGAACCCCCCCACTCAAGCAAGCTTTGCTCCTCCCAGCTCCACACTGACCTTAGTCAGGATTCCCCCCAATTCCAGGTTCCAACATGTCCCCGAGAACATCTAATCAACCTTTAATCAACATTTAATCAATGTCCCATACCTATGTGCCAATAAGCGTTTTCTTCTTTTATTTGAGAGTCCCTGGGAAAGGGGAGCCTCCCTGCTGGGAGATCCTGTCAGTGAGGAGATGAAGGGAGCCCCATCCTGGGACTTGAGGGGGGAGGGGCAGGGAGAGGTTAAAGGTTAAAGGGGAGGGGCTGTGAATAAACCCTCCCCACCCCCATTGTGAAGAAAACAGCTGTATTTAGGACTGAAGTGGGGTCAGGGGAATCATGGGGTGCAGATCTGTAGGGGGCACCCTCCCCTCTATCACGGGACTGAACTTGGGCCTTCACCTGCACAGACCCCTCTGCCACCCTCACTGCACCCCAGTATTCAGTGGGTGAAGTGGGGCCAGACAAAGAGGTGAACCCGTGGAAATAGCCCCGCTCTTAGACAGGCTTTGGGGTGCTGGACTGGGCTTGGGGCAGGTGGGCTGGGGAGATGAGTGGCCAGGGGTCTTGGCTTAGGTTTGCACATGGCTCAGTTGGACGTCACCCCCGACTTCCAGGTTGTTGATGCCAGGCAAATACGCCATGCGGTGTTTGTACTCAAACAGGTGCTGGCCGTTCACCGCCACCTTGAGACAATGGCTCTCACATAGGATCCACACCTGCAGGGAGTCGTAGTGTGAGCGCTGCCCGGGTCCCACACCCGTGCTCCAGCCAGGCTCCACCCCACCCCCTGCCTGTCCTGCTCCCTGTCCCAGAATGCCCTTCTGCCCTGCTCATCAATCCCAGGACTTGCCCCACATGACCAGCCTTCCAACCTCCTGAGCCTGTCCCAAGCCAGCCAAGTGCCCCCTGATCGTGACCCTGCTGCCATTCTCACCCTCCTCCTGGCCCCTGAGTCACAAGGGAGAGGAATGCTGACTTGTGCCATCCATGCTCCAGGCACTGGCATAGGAGAGCTTGGCTTCTGCCTGGAACCTAACACCATGAGGGGTCCCTGGGGCAGTCAGGATCATCTGGGAAACATCAGCACCCTGCTGCCATGGCAACCACCTGCAACACCACCTACTGGCACTTACTACACAAATTATAGGGTCCTCTCACTTTGCTCTTCCATCTCAGTGATACCCAGACGATGGTATGAGAAACTGAGGCATGGAACAGTGAAGGTACTTGCTCAAGGATACTCAGTTACCTACAAATATGCTGCACTCTGGCTTGGAACATTACCCTACACTGTAGGGTTCAGTGTAGGACCAGGACTGAGCCCAGGGTCTCATGTGTGCAAGGCAAGTGCTCTGTTGCTGAGCTATACCTGTGGCTCACGAGGACCAAACTCCTTTCCTAGGTCCCCAGTGTCCCTAAGCAGTCATTTTCAACCCCAGGGACAGATTTATTTTAAGTCACGCATCCATAGCTGTGCACACTTCATTGGCCAAGTGTCTCCTTTCTTCCTTTCCACACCCAGCTGTGCTCAAGGCTTACTCCTGGCTCTGTGCTCAGGGATCATTCCTGATGGGATTCAGGAATCACTCCATATATGGTGTCAGGGATAGAACTTGGATTGGCTGTGTGGAACGCAAGCTCCTTACCCCTGAACCTCTCTCTCTCTCTTTCTCTCTCTCTGTCTCTCTCTCTGTCTATCTCTGTCTCTGGCCATTTTTGGCTTTTTGAGTCACACCTGGCAGTGCTCACACAACTGGCTCTGTGCTCAGGAATTATTCCTGGCAGTGCTTGAGGGACCATGTGGGATTGAACCCAGTTGAGCCACAAGTTGGCTGCCTGAAAGACAAACAAAGCCTGGCTGCTCTGTTCCCTGAAACTTTTATTTTGAGTGATTTGAAGTTGTGGTGAGGGCTGGGCTCACTCTCCTCCTGCAAGCCCTGGCCTGGTAGGCAGGTGGACCCCACCTGCACATCCCTAACACCTGCTTCCTGAGGCCTGTTTCACAAGCTCCCTGGTTCCCCAGAGAACCTCCTAGAGCAGTGCCCTGGGCCCATGGTTCTGTTTTGCTTCCTGCAAAGCACCTAACCCTGCACATGTTTCTGGTCCTCCACCTACACTATAAAGGAGGTGGGACAGGACCTCCAGGCTACCTGCACCAGGGGAACTTCCTGCCTCTCCCGCTTCAGGACAAAATAGCTAATGGGTGGCTGGAGGGAGCTGAGGTGACAGGCTTTGCCCGCAGGAGACCTGGGTTCCATCCCGAACACTGTGTTTCCCTGCATACCCCAGGAGCAATCTATGAGCACAGAGCCTGGAGTAGACCTGGAGCACCACCTGGGGCGGCCCAATTCCCTCCCTCCCCCATAAAATGCATGAAAGAAAGAGACTGATGAGAGCCCGTGAGTGAGTAAACAAGAGCAGCTCTGCCCCCTTGCTCACTCCTTCCCTGGCCCTGGTCCCGTGTGTGTGTCCTCCCCGACCCCGCCTGTCCTCGCACCCCTCCCTGCAGTGGAAGGGGATTGTGTACAGGCTCCTGCTGGCCCCAGTCCTCAATCTACAGGTTTCAGCCCTCAAGCGCCCCAGTTGCCTCCACCACCCTCCCAGCCCTGGGCAGCCCCGGGACTTACTTGGAAGCCCTGGCCACGGACGAAAGGCATGGTGCGGGGCAGACTGCACTCCTCCTGTCCCCAGGAATTACAGATCTGTGTGTTCCGCGCTAAGATGTTCTGAGAGATCCGGGCACACATTTGGAAGGCGATGTCATTCCCCGAGCGCAGGTTGATGTAGAAGCTGTGGGTGGACGGCTCATGTGGACTTCCTCTGCCCTGGCTTTGCTCCCCAAGCCCCCCAGATCCCAGGTGTCCCGAGGGGCTGGACTTACCTGTGGGAATTGTGTGGGACAAATCCTGAAACAAAGATGTTTTTGGACGGGGAGAGTCCTCCTGAGATCGAGGTGAAGTAAGGCATCGGCTGTCAGGGGAGAGGGATGCTCAGGGGCAGCCACTGGGGCAGGGAGCCCCTGTGTCCGAGCAGGAGCTCCGTGGGAGCAAGATGTGTCTTGGAAAATGCCAGAGGAACTGCAGCATGCTCAAATGAACCGTCGGGAAAGGAACTGTACCCCAACATGGGACAAAGGTGGGAAAGGAAAGCAACGGGGTGCTCTGGGGATGGGGTAGATGAGGGCTAAAGGCACCTTTCCAGGCCTTGCATTTCCCTGGGGTGTGTTTAGGCCACTGCCGGTAATGCTCTGGGATTACTCCTGGCTCTGCTCTCAGGATCACTCCTGGTGATGTAGGCAGGAACTTCAAGGGGGAACTTCAAGCGCGCGCGCGCACACACACACACACACACACACACACACACACACACACACAATGGCAATAGAATTCCTGGAAAATAATAAAAATAATAGTAGTCCCGGAGGATGTCAGGCCTGATTAGGCTTCACCTAGCACCAACAGAGGAGGCTGGACCACCTCTCCCCCTGACCCAGAAAGAAGCTCCAGCAGGAACAAAGGCCAGGAAAGGAATTTCAAAGAGGACCACAGACCACTCCCAACTCTATCCACAAACAAAAGACTCTTACCTAGCTAGGAAGTACCATGTGGGGGCAAGTTGGAAAAATCCTACAAAACCCACCTTGAACAAAGAGGGGCATGCATATGCCGCCCAAGTCCATGTGCTGCTTGTGCCCACATAGCTGAGCATAGATTTTGCCTGAGCACATGTGTCACCCGCATCTTGCCTTTTGAGATGTGTACTGGGGCTCTCTCCACCTTTGAAGATGCCTGTGTTCTTGCTTGAGCATATTACTCTCCCACTTTCTACCCCTCCTTCCCCCTTCCTGAAATGCTCCGAATAAAATCTGCTTTTTCTTCACTGCTTATCTATTACTGAAATTCTTTTCTGCAAGATAGGAGAAAGTAAACCTGGAAACCTTGGGTCAGGCCCAGGACTGACTTTCCTTTCCTACAAAGAGAAATTCCTCACTCCAGCCTCAGTTTGTGGCTCCCCAAGGACTTGGGTGGGGGGGATCAACTCCTGTGCCGGAAAGACCTAGGTGGGCTTGAGAGCTACCTGGTGGGGCTGGCAGGGCTCTGGCCTATGCCATGCAGAGACCCATCACAGACTCTATCAGTCTTGACCTTCTAAGCTTGTTCCCAAGTTAGCAGAGGCAGATCGGGAGAAAGTGTGCATCTCTCCCCTCCACATCGCACATGAGGCACACTGGCTTCATTCTTGGCGAGCCAGCCAGGAGCTTGCCCTGAAAAACCCCGTGGGAAAGGAGATAGTCCCAACTTCCCTGGCACTACTAAGAGGACCATACAGTATGCCATAAATCAAACCTGGGTCAGCTACATGCAAGGCTAGCATCTTTCATGCTGTACTATCACTCTGACCCCTCCCAAGTGTGTTTTGAGAACTTCAGCTGGGGGCCAGGAGGCAGGACAGCAATGAGGACACAAGGCTAGTAGTGCACCTGCCCTGGTACTTAGTGGGACCACATGGACCCTGAGTATTGTCAGGTACAACCTGCAGGCCTGTGAGCACAGCTGGGAGAGGCTTTGGTGGCCCTCAACACCATATCCTCAGGCCCTGCATTGAACCATGGGCCCAGCTCAGGAGAGAAGTGCCCAGATCTCCCGAGCACCACTTAGGAGCTCCCTAACCTCAAGGAAAGAATTTCTGTGGGCACTGGGGCAATAATACAGTGGAAAGGGCGCTTGCCTTGTATGCGGCCAACCTGGGTTCAATGTCCTAAATGGTCCCTTGAGCCTGCCAGTAGTGATCCCTGAGTCCAGAGCCAGAATTCACCCTTGAGCATCACTGAGTACAGCTCAAAACACCAACCAAACAACAACAAAAGGAACCTCAGTGGATAAAAGAGTTGTTTCAACTGTGTGATGGCCTTCATCGCCCCCTAACCCAGCATAAGCAAAACCCCTGCCCATGCCCTCCAAGAAACCACTTACATAGACTGGGTTGGGGTCGGGGTACATCGAAGCTGAAACGACGGGACTCTGTTAAAGAGATCAGGAGATTCAGGGGGAGTAAGCACACACAGGCAGGCACACGCCTTGGCCCCTGGGAGCCCGCTCACTATCTTTTTAGTGTCAGCTCCATGGACTACCCCAGCTCCCCACAGGCAGCCTCCCCTGAGCCCAGATGCTCCCTCTGTTTGCTCTAGTGGGAGGAAGAGATGCTAAATCCTGTGACCCACTGTAAGATTCAGGAGCTGCTCCTCAGGATCCAGGAATGCAGTGGACATGGGGCCTGCTGTGGGGTTGGTGGGTAAATTGGGCTGGCCCAGAACCTCTGCAGTCCCAAGGAAGGTGAGTGCTTAAATAGCCTTAATCTGTGGCTCCAGCCCCAGGTGACCCCCTTCTCCTTGCTTAACTGCTTTCTTCCTTCCTCTCAGACAACACAACTCAGCTCTTTGTAAAGGGAAGGTGGTCAGATCTTTGGGACTCACCGGAAACCTCTGGGTTGGGATGCTGCATTCCTTGTGGATGATTACTCGAGTCTAGAAAAAAGAAACAATGGACTCATCTTATTTGTTTTGGACCCACCCCCGTGGTACTCAGGGGTCACTCCCGGCAGTGCTCAGGGGACCACAGAGGGCACCAGAGCTAGAACCTGGGGCCAGCCATGTGCAAGGCAAACTCTCTCTCCATAGGACTATGACTCTGGCCCCAAAACAACAGACTTAAGCCAACAGTCACCTGGCAGGAGGGGGCACCACTAAACACAGTGCTCTGAGGCTGGGGGTCTAGAGCCAAGCCGAGCCTCAAGCCATCCTCGTGTGGGCTGGTGTGGGCATTTCTTTCCGGATGCACCACAACTGTGCCTGAAATCTGTGTCATATGGCCCCACCTTCCTCTAGGCCTGGCCTCCCTTTACGGAGGAAGGCATGAGGGTCTCCTTCCCTGAAACAGCCCACAGCAGAGCGAAGACTCGAGCACAGCAGGGATATCTGTTCCAGCTGGTTCCTAAGAGCTTGAGGCTTGACCGCAGCTCCCTGTGGGAGAGGCACACGGCCAGCCCTGCCTCCTTTTTTTTTTCTTTTTGGGTCACACCTGGCAATGCACAGAGGTTACTCCTGGCTCTGCACTCAGGAATTACTCCTGGCAGTGCTCAGGGGACCATATGGGATGCTGGGAATCTAACTCAAGTTGGCCACGTGCATGGCAAATGCCCTACCCTCTGCACTATCGCTCCAGCCCCCTGCCTCCTCTTTCTAAGCCAAGGAAGAGGAACTCTGAAGAGATGCAAAGACACTTACCACAGGTGCGTTGGCCATCTTCTGCCCGGCTGGGTGCTGCAGGGGAAGAAAGAGCATCAGTGAGGTGGGCACAGGGAGCCGCCTCAAAAATGAGGAGAAACACCCCCCCCCCCCACTCTGTCCTGTCCCCAGCAAACCCTTCCATGTGGGTGGTACCCAGGCCCTCCCCTGGGACATGCTGACTGTGAAGGGAGGGTGGGGTCCCCCTGGCTCCTCCTGAGCGGACAATGGCACCTGTCATCCTGTGTGCTCGGCAGTGGCCAACCTCCCTCCCAGTGCCATTTGCTTCTGGAAGGTGGAGGCTGGCAAGTGGCTGAGGCCAGCTTTGGTGTCAGCGTGGCCCCTGGCAGCCTCTTGAGCATCGGCTGCATGCAGCCAGTGATGCGATCCCTGTCCTGAGCGTCCTGCCTGGTCAGGGCCAGGCTTCTGGCAAGCACCTGGAGCCAGTGTGACGGGTGCAGGTGCCCCTCTGCACTGTGGTCAGCCAGTGAGGGCTGGGAAGACACCCTATCTGTCCCTCTGGCCCCCACTGCTGTCCCTTTCCTGTCCCCCACCTAAAGACTGGGGAGGGCTGGTGCCACTTCCACTGGCTGACCCCAGCACAGTCGCCTCTAGGTGGGCTCCATGAAAATGAGCAAGCTCACCCTGGCTTACGGCTCTGGGGAAGGAGGAAGTGGGGGGGGGGTAGGAATGGTCATGAACAAGCTCACCCTTCCCCCGCACGGCTCTGGGGAAGGAGGAAGTGGGGGGTGGGGATTGGGGAGGTGTGGGCAGACAGACACACAGTGATGACAGGACGTGGTGACTAGCACGAGGTCTTCAGGGACCTGGAGGTATCTGGGGAGCTGTGGGAACTAACATTAGACAGAGCTTCTGAAGGGGGGTTCAGAGGGCATGGGGGAGGGGCTCTCAGCGAGGGACAGCACAGCCTGGTGAGAGTAGGGCTCCTGTGGGTGCTGGGAGTGGGGGCTAGTTTAGAAGGGTATGGGCCCTTGAATCAGGAAGGGGGGTGGCCCCTTGGCTGTAGGTCCCCGCGGCAGGGGTGCATGAGGCTGGGGAGCCCCTCCTGGTGTCTGGAACTGAGAGTGGTTCCTTGGGGGTGCTGGACTGGGGACGGGGGCATACAGGCTCAGTGCTGGGCTGGTGGAGGTCTACAGGCCTCTAGGGGATCTGTCCTAACTGCGTGTTGGCCCCCCAGGCTCCATATTGCACTCACTCGTGGTCTGTGCCCCTTGGGCTTGGGCGGGCCACAGGGACGCTGGGAGAACTGCGCCTGGGAGAAGGCTTGGGGGGGATTCTGTCAAGACAAAAGCGGCACAGTGAGGAAGAGGCACGGCGGAGCGAGGGCACACCTGGGAGCAGAGGGGGGAAGGGCAGAGGGCACACAGCCAGTGAGGGCAGAGGGCAGAGGCCACACAGTGGGTGAGGGCAGAGGGCACACATTGGGTGAGGGCAGAGGGCACACGATGATAGGAGCAGGGTCTCCTCTGGTAGCTGCTAGACAGAGGCAGCAGGGTTAGACAGGCGGGAAAGTGGGACAGCAGTGTCCCCATGCCCGACTGCTGAGAGACTGCAGGTACATCTGTGTCAGGAACAGCTTCAGTGCAGCAACCTGTGTCCTGTGGGAATGGGGGCCCAGCATACCCCCATCTTTCCAGTCCCACAAAATGCCAGAAATCCTGTTCAGATAGGGTTTGTGGGTGGTCTCCTGTTCCTGGCTGCACTGGAACAGGTGAGGATCAGAGAGAGAGAGAGAGAGAGCGCGCGCCTGGGGTCCAGGGACGAGACACAGGGAGAAGGAGATGAGGAGCTCGAGGCGTGACCCCAGGGTTGTGGATGTCAGGGCAGCCTTACTTCGAAGTTGACATAGGATAGTTGCACGCCGCCGGCCACAGCAATGGTGTCAACAGGGTGGAAGGGCACGCGGTGTGAGTACTGGGTGAAGAAGTTTCCGTTCACGTTCACCTGTGGGCGAGTGCCAAGTGCTTGAGAGGGGACCTGGGCTAGGGTGGGGGTAGTCCTGAGCCCCCATACCCTTGCTTCTGGGAGTGATCACGTCCTCTGCTTTCCACAGGGCTGGTGGCATCCCGCACTCTAGGATAACTCCTGAGGCTGGACCCCTTCTCTTGCTCCAGGGGTAGATTTAGAGGGGGCTGGCAGGGGGGTGGGTGATAGCACAGTGGATAGGCATCTGACTTACTTACATGTCGCTGACCCAGGTTCAATCCCTGGCACCTGATATGGTGCCCAAGCCTGGCACGAGTGATTGCTGAGTTCAGAGCCAGGAGTAAACCCTGGGCACTTCCTGGCCCCAAAACCAAAAACTTAAAAACTATATATGTACATTTAAATATACAGAGACCTCTAGAGGGCCCAGCAGGGGCTGGTGCAGACCCACTCTCCCATGATCCTTCATATCCAGGCCACTGCATGATGCTCATTGCAAAAGTGTCTTTTGCTGGTTGGTTTTAGTTTAGGGGTCACATCCCGTGATGCACAGAGATAATTCCTGGCTCTGTGTCAGGGATCACTCCTGCAGTGCTTGGGGGACCTCTGCAGTGCAAGGGATTGCTCCCAGGTCAGCCACCTGCAAGGTGAGTGCTATCTCTCCAGGGCTTGGCTTGTGACCCTGAGCATGTGTGGGGCCCAGATGAGACTGCAATAATGGATGTGCAGTAGATGTGGATGTGTTTCCATAGAGCAGGAGGGCAGACCTGACGTAGCAAAGCGGTGTGGTAAACAGGCATTTTTACTTTGGAGGCCCCCAAAGCAATGTGCCAACTATGAAGCTTTCATTTTTTAAGCCAAAACAACCGTCAAGGGCCAGACAGATATTATAGCGGGGAGGGCACTTGCCTTGCACGTGGCAGACAAGGGTTCAACCTGAGCACTCCATATGGTCCTCTGAGCCCCAACAGGAGTGATCCTTGAGCCAGCAGTAAGGCCTGGCTACCATGAAGGCAGCCCCAAAATCAAACAAAGAAGCATCTTTTGTGCATGCAGATGTCGGTTAAGGTTTATAAAAAAATTTAAAAACTAAAACCCTGTAGGACCCCACCTCTACCCTACAAGGAAATGGTTCCTTCTCTGGGAAGACATTGCTGAGCAGCGGATGGTTTGGGATGGGTCGTCTTTGGCGGCAGGAGGCCGGGAGTGCAAGTGGGAAGGAGGGACGAGTGTCCTACTCACAGTGAAACTTGCGCTCTGTACCAGGATGCACAGCTCGAAGGCATTACCCTTGTTGAAGGGCATATGCATCTTCCTCTCCTCGGGCCCCCAGCAGCCATTCTGCTTCGTGTTGCAGACCACAAGCTCGTCTTTAAAGCGAGGGTTGAAGTGGAAAGCCACGTCATTGCCGCTGCTGCCCTTCTGAAGGTTCACGTGGAACCTGGGACAGAAGACGTTAGTGAGCACTGAGCAAAACAGGGAGAATGAACAGGGATGCCCCACACTCTCTAGTTCTGCCTGGAGATGTGCAGGTGACCCTCCTGACCCACTCATTTGTCCCCTAGCTTTGCACAGAGGGTTTTTATGCAACCTCTGAACTGTGCCCTTCCGATGTCATTTTCTCAAACTGTGTGGAAATTGGGTAATGAAAAATGTAGATACCAGCAACAAGAAACACAGTTCGGAGGTGGCCACGTTCAGGACAATGCCCAGCCTGCTGTCCTGTCACTCCGGCCCCATGAAACACAGGTCTCAAGAACTAATGACAGAATGTGACTCTTGGAGCGGAGAATCCACGGCCCCTTGGAAGGTGGGGTGCTGCCTTGGATTTCTTGGGGACCTCTCCCCTCTGTGCCCCCTGCCCAGCTTCACTGGACTGAGGACAAGTTCAGTCTCTTGGGCATGCAGGAGAGGAGTGAAAAGCAATTCTGGGGATGGGGCTGAGGACAGAGGGGGAGGGAAGAAAGGGGTGAAGTTCCAAGTGGGCTGGGTCTCTCCAGCTGACTGGTTTAGGGGAGCTCACAGGCCTCGCTTTGTTCTGCATTTCCTGGGGTTTATGTGAGGTTCTCGGTAAGGCCCCACAGCAAGCCACCTGGTGGGAAAGGCTAGGGGCAAGATAGCGGTCTAAAAGCAAGATGTGAGTTGCGCTAGGCCTAGGCCAGGGAACAGTATGAAGAGGATCTAGAAAGTTCCAAACCCTGTGCTATAGGATTGCAGTAGTAGTGGCGGGGCAGGGGTGGAAGGGGGGGGCAGGTGGTGGAGATGGGTGAGATTGCTGGGGTGGCAGAAATCAGATGAGCTATGAGAGGGGTCCACATGCATGGAAGTGTTTTAGGCTCCGCAGGCTTCAGCAATCAGCATGATAGGGAACTCTCCAAACTCAGCAAGATTCAAACCCACATCCCTTTCCACAGACCTCAGCCCAGATCAGCCTGACTGGGCCTAAGAGTGTTGGCAGCTCCTGAGAAGGTCAAGTTCCTGTCTGAGCCCTCAGCTCTTCAGGATGGAGGAGAGGTGGTAATTGCAGGAGTGATGGGAAACATTTATGTTTTGTTTGTGATGGGCTGATTTGGATTGCTTTGGGGGCCAGACATGGTGGTGCTCAGGGGTCCTGGCTCTGCACTCAGTGGTCACTCCTGGAAGACTTGGGGAAGCATATATGGTCCCGGGGATTGAACCTGGGCCGGTTGCATGCAAGGCATGTCTTCTACTTGCTGTACTGCCTCTGAGAGATAGACAAGCAACGGCAGCACCATGATAGGCTCAAAAAAGGAGCTAGAAGAAGCTAGGCCTACGTTTCAGTTCCAGAATTCCTGAAATTGAATGCAGAGTCCTGTAATTGAATCATGATTTTCCTGAAGCGAGGTTGCCATGGGTGAGGTCAACCAAAGTTGCCAATCAGAAGCAGGTAGATTGGTAACTATATAACCCTTATGTAAACTTTATGGAAATCCGCCTGATAACCAATCAGCTAAGTACAAATAGTGGAAAGCCCCTCTGACTACAGCCAAAAGGATGGTCTGCAGAAAGTTCCTGTTATATAGTGTTAAAAGGCCCTCCCGTTGATCGTCGATTTGCTCGAGCGGGCCCAGTAACGTCTCCATTGGAGACTTTGTTGTTACTGTGTCTGGCATATCGAATACTCTCGGTAGCTTGCCGGGCTCTCCGAGAGGGGCGGAGGAATCGAACTCGGGTAGACCATGTTGGCCGCTTGTAAGGCAAACGCCCTACCACTGTGCTATTGCTCCAGCCCCTCACTCGCCGAATACACATCTGACAAGGGGTTGATATCAAGGATATACAAAGTACTGGCTAAACTCCACAAGGAGAAAACATCCAACCCCATCCAAAAATGGGGCAATGAAATGAACAGAAACTTTCTCAAAGAAGAAATCCGAATGGCAAAAAAGCACATGAGAAAATGCTCTACATCATTAATCATCAGGGAGATGCAGATCAAAACCACAATGAGATACCATCTCACACCTCAGAGACTGGCCCACATTCAAAAGAACAAAAGCAACCAATGCTGGCGCGGATGTGGCGAGAAAGGGACACTCCTTCACTGTTGGTGGGAATGCCGACTGGTTCAGCCCTTCTGGAAAACAGTATGGACGATTCTCAAAAAATTAGAAATTGAGCTCCCATTTGACCCAGCAATAGCACTCCTGGGAATATATCCCAGAGAGGCCAAAATGTATAGTCGAAGTGACATCTGCACTTGTTTGTTCATTGCAGCACTCTTTACAATAGCCAGAAACTGGAAGAAACCTGAATGCCCAAGAACAGATGACTGGTTAAAGAAACTTTGGTACATCTACACAATGGAGTACTATGTTACTATGTAGCTGTTAGAAAAGATAAAGTCATAAAATTTACATACAAGTGGTACAATATGGAAAGTATCATGCTAAGTGAAATGAGTCAGAAAGAGAGGGATAGACATAGAAAGATTGCATTCATCTGGGGGATATAAAGTAACAAAATATGAGATTAATACCCAAGAATAGCTGAGATCAGCACCAGGAGGATTACTCCATAGCTTAGAGGCCAGCCAGGCATTCTAGGGGAAAGGGCAGCTCAGATAGAGAAGGGAGCACCAAATAAAGGGTGTTTAGAGGATCCTCCCAGGAAGGGAGATGCATGTTGAAAGTAGACTATGGACTGAACATGTTTGCCACTCAATGCCTCTTTTGCAGACCACAACACCCAAAAGGAGAGAGAGAACAAAAGGGAATGCCCTGCCACAGAGGCAGGGTGGGATGGGGGGGGGGGGGTGAGGGTGGGAGGGATATTATCCATGGTGGTGGAAAGTGGGCACTGATGGAGGGATGGGTATTTGATCATTGTATAATCGAAACCCAAGCACAAAAAATTGTAAATCTACAACTGTACTTCATGGTGTTTCACTAATAAAAAGAAAAAAAAAACCCTCACTGTTGAGACTTGGGGCCGGCCGCTCGTTCTGAGAAGGCTGCTGCTGTGTCGGTGGGCTGGACGGGGGCCCTAGCTCGAGCTAGCCAATAAAGACCTTTAGCTTATTGCTTTGCAACCTATCTTTGTATGGCTCCTTCAGTGGGATCTCGGCCCGGTCTAACACCTCCCCAGCACTAAATGTTTATACATTGAATTCACGTATATTTTCCAAAAAAAAAGGATCTTGAAACCAAAAGAGACCAAGTCATATATATATGGTGTGAAACAACTATATTCACACCACTGATAGGGCAGTCATGAGGAACAAAGGAAATGAAATGTTTTGCAGTTGTGGGCCCCAGCAAGCAAAGTTCAACCCTCCAGCATTTTCATCTGCCCCTGGGTAGACACAGCCTAAGGGGCCCCCTCACCCCTTAGACTGTGTTAGCCTGTAACACCCCACGGCAATGGGTTGTCTATGGGATCAGTGCCCCCACCCTGTTGACAGATGGCATTGGTGGCAGGCATGTTGGCAGGGGCAAGGCAGCCCCTCCGTCAGATGTCAGATGTCAGATGGTGCTGGGTAGGTGAGGTGAGCTGAAAATGGGTGAGGGTCTCTGAGGGAGGAGAATGGAGAGAACCCCAGGTCCCAGGTACCTGTTTTCTCCAAAAAGAGGAACATGTCCATTGATGATGATTTTCAGTCCATCTCGGAGCCCACCTTGGATGAAGCCTTGGAAGGGGACAGCCTGCAGGGGAGAGGCAGGTCAGTCTGTGGGCTCACATCCCTCCTCCTCCTACAACATCCACCTGTGTGCTCCAGTGGGCTGGCCTGGGCAGCTCTGAATAGGAGAAGGGCTGTCTCAGCCCCCCTGGGTCTTCCTGGCCTAGGAAGAGGATGTGACTTCTGGAGTGCAGAGGGCACTGGACGGAGGAGTGTGTGTATGTGTGTGTGTGTGTGTGTGTGTGTGTGTGAGAGAGAGAGAGTATGTGTGTGTGTGCGAGAGTGTGTGTGTGACTGTGTGTATGTGTATGTGTGTATGTGTGTGCGTGCATGTGGCTGAGAGTTCAACCTCCAGCTGACCTCCATCTTCAAGGACCATCCTCAGGATCACAGCCACCATAGCAGCATGCAAAGCTCCCTGAGCACCACCAGGGGTCGCTCCTGGGCACAGAGGCAGGAGTAAACCCTGAGTACTTCTGGGTACAAAGAGGAAAAGAAAGAGAAAGGAGGGAGGGAAGGAAGGAAGGAAGGAAGGAAGGAAGGAAGGAAGGAAGGAAGGAAGGAAGGAGAAGGAAGAAAGGGAGAGAGGGAGGGAGGGAAGAAGGGAGGGAGGGAGAGAGGGACGGAGGGAGGGAGGGAGGAAGGGAAGGAGGAAGGGAGGGAGGGAGGGAAGGAAGATAGAAAAGAAAGAAAAGGAAAGATAAAAATACAGAAATATAGACAGGAGATCAAAGGGGACTCTGGGGTCCCATCTGTTAAAAGGTGTTGCAGGCTCAAGGTCTCACAGCCCGAGTTCCCAGCTGCCTCTGGGAGGGGAGCTGAGGGCACACACAGAGCCTGCAGGCTTGACCAGGGCCCCACTGGGGGTCCTGTGTGCTGCCACCCCAGCTCCCACACATCTGCCGTCCCCACCCAGAAGAGGTGCCTGGGGTAGTCCCAGGTCCAGTCTCATGAACCTGCGGGGCAGCCTGCCTGTCACTGCTCTCTGTGGACATCACCCTCCTTGGGACGCCTCAAGTCCTGCACTTGGCAGTGGCCTCTCCCCGCGGGTCGCACCTGGGAAGGGCCCACAGCCACCAGGATTGGCACAAGGTCATCACAGACACACTGACACGGGGTAGAATGTGCATGGACCCCACGGCTCTCCCTCAACCCACAGCCCCTCACAGACCCAGGCCCCAGAGCAGACACCACCTAGGGGTCTGTCCCGCTGCCCCAGACCCCTCACTGTCTGCACCCCAGAGCTGGCAGGCACCCTCAGGCACTCCCACAGTGCCACCAGCTTAGCCAAACCCCAGCGGGCAGGTGGTTGCAGGACCCGTTCCGTTGGACAGCTGTGAGGACTCAGGCCCAGAGGAGGCAAAAGTTACCTGTTGATAGACACCAGCAGGTCAATGGCGGAACAGCCTCAGAGTGCCCCCCCAACCCCCACAGCTGTGTTGGTTGTGGCCTCTGCAGAAGCCCTGATCACGCCTTCAGACAAACCAAGTGCCACTCATCTACTGGTCCCAGCCCCAGCCCAGCAGCCCGAGCAGGACGGACATGCAGACACCACAGGCTCTGGGTTCAGTCTCTGCCTGGCGAGGCTACAGCAGATGTGGCAGGCCCACCCAAATGGCTTTTCTACTCTCCGATGTCTCTTTGGGGTGTCCCTGTCATCCCACCCATGGGAGCCATCCCGGGGTAGAATTTCAGCCCCCCGGAGCTGCATCCCCCTGCCCCCCCTCCCCCAGCACAGTGCAGCCACTTACGGGACTCAGGTAAGGAGACTGCACCGCACCGCTGGCCATGGATCCTGTTCCTCAGCGTCAGGCTCTGCACTTGCTGCTGCTCCTTGCTGCTCCTCGGGGAGGACTGAGCTGGAAATGGAAACCTAAGCCACTTGGCTGCTGTCCAAAGGGAGGAGCCAGGGGCTGGAGGAAGTGGATGCTGTAAAGTGGTGGAGTAGGAATCTGGGGGAGGGGAGCAACATCTCACCCCGGTGACCTTCCCCTGTTCTCCTTCTGGGCTCTACCCAGGAGTCCACTGCTGGGGGTTCAAAGCCCTTGATGGCACCGACAGTGGGACAGCACGTTTCCAGCTGCTGTTACTCTCCTGTCTCCTGAGCTTGCTGGGTCAGAGTCCAGAACACAGTGGGCCTGCTTGGAAGAGTGGGTGTTTGGGCACCACCTGTGCTGAGGGCGGGGGTCACTGGCTGTGTGCCCTGACTCTATTCCTTTCCCAATGCAGAGACACAAACAGAGGCCCAGGGAGCCTGGTCAGGGGGGAATGGGTGGGAGCCAGAGAAGGCCCTGAGTTTCAAGTATGTAAATATGATCCCCAGGAATGCCCCGCTGGATCCCGTCCTGGCAACTGATGTTGGGGATCTCGGGGGCCACAACATGGTGTGTGGGCTCGGACGCAAGGCAACGGTGACTTGGAAGGTTCCTCTGTCCCTTGTGAGCTGGACGGCCAAGACACACAGCGACAGGTGGGAGAAAGTCACACTGGAAGCACAGACAGGCTAGAAGTCATGGGCAGTCCTCAAAGGGAGCATCCATGGCTGCATGCAGGGGGCTGTAGGGGATGAAGAGGGGAGGGGCTGCAGACTGCTGGGTGCAGAACAGTGAAATCTCCTGGAAGCTGAGATCAGAAATCTCCTGATGCAGACTAATCTTATCTGCAGAGCTGCTGTAATTGAGCTTTGGGGAAAGTCTAACTACAGAAGAGAAACGAAACTAGAAAAAGGCTGGGCAAGGAGGCAGAGGGCAGTGATTCCAGGCAGGAGATAAGAACAGAATGGGGTGGCACCAGAGGGCTGGACTGTGAGCATCAGCTCTGTATGCCGCCTCACCTCCCACACCATCTGCTGCCTGATTCACTCAAAGCCCTGCACTATCAGAAGCTCCTATACCATACCTGCCAGGCTCCTGGAGTGGGCTCTGGGTTTGGAGAAGGGCACAGTACCAAAGCAGTCAGTGTAAATAGCAGGATTCAGGAGAGCGGGCACGCCTGATGCGTGGCATGGCAGCTTCTTTTGGGTTCCAGATGTGTTCCCTGGAAGCCAGAGGTGGGCCAGAAGCCACTGCAGAGCCATCTGCAGGCCACTTCCAGTCTGCAAATGTGTTTGCTTGTCAGAGACATGTTTGAGAAATAAGAGCTGAGCCAGTTCTGGAAGCTGGAATGAAAACCAGAATTCTAGGGTCTTGAGAGCTAGTACAGACAGTGAGTTGCTTGCCTTGTAAGAACCAACCCAGGTTTGGTCCCCAGAGCACCATCAGGAGTGATGCCTGAGCAAAGTCAGGAGAAAGCCTGAGCACTTCTGGGTGTAGCCAATGTCCTCTCTGCAATATTTCTTTCCCTTTATTTAAACCCTGTGTTCTACAAGTTGTTCATAATACAGTTGTTATGGGCATTCAATATTCTAACACCAACCCCGCCAACAGCATAGCCTTCCCTCCACTATTGGCCCCATTTCCCCAACCATCCCCCAAGTCTGCCCCCTTAGGCACACAACAATTTTTTGTTTGTTTTCAAGAATAAATCATAAATTTATTCTATTTATTTATTTTTGATTAGTGAGACATCATGAGGTACAGTTGTAGACTTACAAATTTTTGTGCTTGGGTTTCAATTATACAATGATCAAATACACATCCCTTCACCAGTGCCCATTTCCCACCACCACGGATCCCAGTATCCCTCCCACCCCCCATGCCCCCCATCCCACCCTGCCTCTGTGGCAGGGCATTCCCTTTTGTTCTCTCTCTCTTATTGGGTGATGCAGGGCAGAGTCTGGCAAACTCCCCGTGGCGTACCAATTATGCCAAATACCAGTAACAATGATGGGTCTCATTCTCCTAAATAGCCCTGAATATAATCTCAGGGCTAGGATGAAAGAGACGTTACTGGGGCCTGCTCGAGGCAATCGACGAATAACAGGATGATGAAATGAAAAAAAAATGAAATTGGGTGATGCAACAATTTTTTAATAATTCTTTAAAAAATAATTTTGAATTAAATATCCATGATATAGACCATTACAAAGCTCTTCATCATTGGGTTTCAGTAATACAATGATCCAATACCCATCCGCCCACCAGTGTACATTTCCCACCACCAATGACCCCATTCCCTTCCCAACAGCCCCCATCCCCCTCCCCCCAGTCTGCTCTATGGTAGGCACTTTTCTTCTTTTGATTTCTCTCTCTCTCTCCTTTTGTGTATTATGGTTTGCAATATAGAAAAGATATCATCATGTTCAGTATTTTTATTAGGAAGGTAGGGCTGGAGTAGGTTTTCCAACTGGGTGGCAGCTCTGGGGTGTGGACATGACCGCTGAGGCTTCTGGATGTATGGGGAGGTGGGGGGAGGTAGCCCATCCCAACCCTGAGAAAGCCTGGAGATTATTTATTTGTTTATTTATTTATGAATTTGCTTTTGGGGTCACACCCGGCGATGCACAGGGGTTACTCCGGCTCTGCGCTCAGGAATTACCCCTGGCGGTGCTCAGGGGACCATATGGGATGCTGGGAATTAAACCCGGGTCTGCCGTGTGCAAGGCAAACGCCCTCCCCACTGTGCTATTGCTCCAGCCCCAAGCCTGGAGATTTTGGTCACAAAGAATACATACCTAAATTTTTGGCAGATTAGTATCCCGGTGAGATCTGTACTGAGACAGTGGAGTGTGTTCAGGAGTATGGTGGTGATGTTTTGTTGTGCAAGCAAGTGGCTGTTAGGGGCTCTGCTTCGGTAGGCACCAGGCTGCCCCCACCCTTCGATTTACCCCTGTTAAGCCTCCTGTGGGTCTGAGATAAACTGTGGCTTTTGATGTCTTTTGAAATTTATGAATCTCTTAAGCAAAGCTGATAAATGAGCTTTGGATGGCTGAGATGGAGGTGTTTTGTGGGTGTGGCTCCCACTGACATTTTGCCTGTTGACTTTCTTGGAAAACTTGCTTGCAAGTTGTTGGGGTCTGGCCAGAGGCATAGCGGCAATTTGGGGGTATCAGGAAGCCTGAAGCCACCATCAAGCTGCTAATGCACTCACTCCACAGGTACAGGTTGACCTCCTGGTGGCACCACACCCCGGCACAAAATAATTTACCTTATATTGCTTGCTACAACTAAATGGCTAATGTAATTATCAAAAATGACTTTAGTAAAAGAAAATTTGTGAAAATTGTTATATTTCATTAAGTCCTTGTCTTAGGGTTTACGAAACTGTTGTTGCTAGTTGAGTCTTCTGCATTTTTTGTTTATTTTTTGTTTATTGAACTTAGTTGGTGTCTTTGTGACTTTCGCACCAAATTTGGTATGCTCCTACAGGAATGCGGGTATTGTGGAATTTAGAGGTATTGTTTGGCTGCACACGTGGCTGCATGCTCCAGAAACTCCAGGAGATCTAAAACTGGGCCAATGGGTTTATATGGCAGCAGCTGTGGGATGTGGGTGTGGCTGCCAGGGCTTCTGGAAGTACAGGGGGGCTTAGGGGAGGCTGCCCACCCCAGGGGGTTGGGGCGAGGCTTCCCATCTCCACTCCAAGGAGACTCCAGAGATCTAGCCTGAAATCCTGTGCACCTGTAATTTTCATCACGTTGGTGTCTCTGTATGGATTAGTTGTGAAGCAGTGGAATTGGGCCATTAACATGGTGTCAGTGGTGAGATGTGGGTGTGGGAGCAGGGGCTTCAGCGGGGCATACCCCACAATAATTTTTAATGTTTTTTTTTAAGAAAGAATGCCCAGACTTCTAACTTCTTTCCATCAAACAGTAAAAGACAAACAACAACAACAACAAACAACAACAACAACAACAACAACAAAACCAGTCCTGAAACCCAGTCTCATCCAAGAAGGCAACAATCCACCAGGTCTGATCAGCAGTCTCATGGGCCAGTCCAGTGAACCTCACTCCTCCCCATTCCCTGATGTCTGAGTTCAGGAGTAAGTAGACATTGTGCTTTTCTTTATTTCTATTTCTTTTTAGTGGGAAGGGGAGCTTGGCCACACTCAATGTGCTCACGACATATTCTTGGATCTGCTCAGGGTCACTCCTGGTGCTGCTCAGAGGTGCTGGGGATGAAGCCTAGACCAGCCACATGCAAGGCAAGCACCATACCCACTCTACTATCTTCCCCCACCCCCTTCATCTCTTTTGTTTAGTTTTTTGATTTGAGGACCACCCCAGGCAGTGCCTTACTCCTGCTCTGTGCTCAGGTAGCATTCCTGATGGGGTTCAGGGACTATATATGGTGCTGATGATTAAACCGAGGGGCAAGCCACATACAAGGCAAGCACTCACACTCCAACCCCAAACGGTTTTATCTTTTCTGATAGCTCAGATATATATATATATACACACACACACACACACACACACACACACACACACACATACACACACACACACATATACACCGTAGTTTCTTTTTCTATTCATGTTGCTGGTCATTTTAGTTCTTTCCAGTTGGTGACCATTATAAATAAGCCACAGTGAGTTTAAGTGTGCATATCTATTTAATAATTTATTTTTGGTTTGGTGGTCACACCCAGCAGTGCTCAGGGTCTACTCTGAGCTAAGTTCTCAGGGGTAACTCCTGGAAGTACTCAGAAAATCACCTGGTGCAAGGAATAAAACCCACCCAGAACTCTGGTATACAAAGAATGAGCTCCAGACCACTGAGTTCACTCTCTGGCTCTGCACATATCTTTTATTTCTTCTCTGAGGGGAATACACCCAGCAGTGCTCAGGGCTTACTCCTTGTTCTGATGCAGGAATCACTTCTGACAGTGCTCAGGGGAAGCCAGGTTGACCTCAAGCAAGGCAAGTGCCCCATCCACAGTACTATCACGCTGGTTCCAGATGTCT